AAGGGGTGCTCTCACTCTTCGAAGGGTATAAATAGCGGGACCTTTCAATTAGAATCGATTCCTTGCGATGAAGGCAGGATTGACAACTGTATCAAAACCGAATACTTCATCTTTTCTCAATAGTGATGGAGTAATACGACATCCGCTAAACTAAGCACACGGAATATACAATAGATCAAAACACTGGTCGCAATGTTTTATGTCGCGGACAGAGGAAAAAATATGCCGTCATATGTCACACCTTTACTTTTATTTCAGATTTAAAGTCAATGCCAATTCGTAGAAGGTACCCAACTAACATTTTCAGCTTTGTAAGCCAACTTTTCCAGCATTGTGCTGTAAAGTAGCTGAAAAGAAGCTTCAGATACAGCAACAAGCAAAAGCTAGCAAAATAGTTTTGGAGAGCGTTTACTCAACTTTCTCACAACCATTATTCAATTTGTCAGTCGCACTGAATAACATCAGCCAATAAACGCTAATGTCACTTCTATACACACACTACCCAACTTTCAACTTGTAGCTGCAAAACAAATTGTTAGCTTTGTTTTGTTGAATATATTACTCATTTTATGGCTTCTACATAACCAACCACTCTTGCTGAATAACATAAACATCAAAAGTGCTTTTTCAACAACTAAACAACGTGTACTCAGCTTATAAACTGTGTTAGAGCAAATTCGGAAGCATTTTCACAGTCAACTAGGTTTATTTTTAGACGTGTGCAGTTTTACAGCTTTTACTCGGCTCTCTTATAACTAGTCGAGAAAATTGATTCATGTGTACTATTATAAAGCCTCTACTCAGCGATTTTGTTGTAGAAGTTGTTTTGTTTACATAAGTTCAAAGTGTTGGCGTAGCACAGTTGGTAGTGTCAACGTTTGCCAATGAGATCGTCTGGAGTTCGATTCTAGGTTCCGGTGCAGGGTAAATAATTTGGTGATGATTTGTTACTAATTTCGATTAATTTGATTCACAGCAAAATAAACTCAATAAATTCCTTCATAAAAAAGCGTAAACAGTATTTAACTCGGTTTCAAGAGAAAGCTGTGTAGTGATTATTGGATAACCGGGAAAAGGTTGAATAAGCACCTTTCAAGTTCACACACAACTAAACAGCAGGATAACAGCTGTATAGAAGCGTTAATGGATATGCAATAAGAGCTTCTCCCGACCGTTCCAACAGCCATAAGTAGCTGACTAAGTTCGCCAGATTTGCTTGTATAGAGGTTGAGTAAAGGTTTCCTCATATCGTATAACGTTTGAATACAGCTTGAGACTGTATAAATGAAATGAGTAAAGCGTTTACATTGTGAAAATTGTTAGTTGGGTAAGGCTTAAGAGAACGTCATTTGATTTAAGGAATCTCCCTAGAAGGTTGAGTAACTTCGTAAAAGTTTAAGAAATGTTATCAAGGAACTTCATATACAGTGGCGTCCCGCAACCTCACTTTTTACATGTGCACCAACTTTCATATTCATACTCGAATCGGTTAAAAAATACACTTAATCTTCTGGTTTACTCGATATATATCCATTGTAAGCAATATTTTGATGATTGTTTATGTTTTGAGAGTTGATGCACAGATAGGTTGAGGTTAAGGAAACGCCACTGTTCATACATCTTCAGAAACTTTATATAACTTTAAAAACTGTCTGCTTAGCAAAATAAATAAATAAATAAGTAAATAAATAAATAAATAATCCCAACTCTTCTTATTACACCTTCTTTTTTTGTAAATTAATTTATTTGTACAGGCTCAATCGAATAAACTTTACAGAGCCAAATTATCTTTTGCGTTATACATTATCAATGTCTTAAATCTAAAGTTAAAGGAATTGAACCGAGTACTCGCGTTCGTCTCGAGGTTAGTGGAGATTTACAGTTTCATGGATGGGGAGAGGGAAAAGGAGGTTTGAAATATGATTTACGATACAATTATTTAATTATTCCTAAAACATGAACTTATTCCTATTCAACTTGATATCAGCAGTGTAATTACACTATTATTACAAAACATTAAAAAAACACACACACACACAAACTAAACACAAGGTTAATCAAACTTATAATCTAAGGTTAATATTCTTCAAGAAAACATATATCAGTTTCATAAACTCCAGATCGCGTCTACCCAAAATATCTCGAACTGGAACATTAGGTTGTCTACCTCGAGCCCGAAGGGAATCGCACAGCTCAGATCTGACTCCACGATGCTCAGCACAAGACCAAATAATGTGATCGGCGTCTTGGTAACCTTGTCCACATTCACAGAGATTGCTGTCCCCCAGCCCAGCACGAATCAAGTGAGCGTTTAACGATTGATTGATTGGACATGAGGCGAGACATCACACGAATGAAGTCTCGACCCACCTCCAATATCACACCTTCTATTGCGATGTTAAATAGTAGACACGAAAGTTCATCACCTTGCCGTTACCCCCTTCGAGATTCAAAGGGACTCGGTAGTGTCCCCGATACTCGAACAACGCACATTACTCGATTCATCGTCACCTTGACCAATCGCGTCAGTTTATTCGGAAATCCGTACTCGTGCATAATTGAATTGTATAGAAGTTACCATGAAATTTCTACTCAAAGCGCATTACCACAGAGGTAACTCTAAGACTAGAAGGTCCCAAAATAACGTGCTCAACTTTTTGGCTCAGCTCTGGTACTCTCTTCGGTCGCAAGCTAATCGATTTACCCCTCAAAACATAGGAAAAACCAATAACCCCTCATTTTATCTGCCAAACTTTCATAGCGAATCAAAACAAACATTGCGTAGTACTAGAATTTCGACTAGAATGGGGTACGTTAATCGTTTGCTTGGGACCAATAGGCTAGTCAAGTAGTGAGCCATTTTAAAAATCGTTAGTTTCGTATTGATTGTTGGTATAAGTATCTGATATTCTGGTATTCGATTCTGATTTCTTATCAAACATTCAAAACGGGGTGAAGTTGATCACTACACCGGTAAATTTATTTTCTCAACAATACTTTTACATGAGATTGTTATAAGATAATTTCATTAGTACTTCATCAAGGAGTTTAAAATAGAACTTTTGAAACGTTTCCCTTTACAAACGATGGATTATGTATAAATGTATAATTTTGTAGAAGTGTAAAATATACATCTTTTAACTGTTCCTAAACATCCTATCATAATCAGCATTTATTCTGGTGTTCGGTGAAATTATTTATTTTACTTAATTTTGGGTCGCTGAATCGGAATCTCAGATTTTGTTAAAATTGTAGTCTTCGGATCATAAAATTTGCATTTTTTTTATTAAATTTTAATTCTAAAACATAAACCAAGCATGTAATTTCAAAACTAAACTCGTATACTAAAAAGGCATATGCTAGTACAGGTTTGAAAGGTAGTTTTTAGTGTGCCAAACACATGGTTAAACAAATCTATACAGAGCTGGAAAAAGGGCCTATTTGCCTTGATCGATTCTCTTCATCGACTTTCTCTTTCGTTAAGAACTCAGCTGCAACAACATTTCTTGTTGTATTTGACGATTTGGGCGATAGATCATGCTATGTGGCAAAAATAGCACAAAAACTGCTTGCACAACCGTGGTTATCAAAAGAGAAAGTCGATGAAGAGAATCGATCAAAGCAGATAAGCCCTTTTTCCAGCTATGTATAGAAATATTCAGTAGACTGATGCAAAATTTGAAATTTTCGCTCCACAGTGTTCAAACGGTTTCAAATCGGGTCCTGATTAGCCTCCGAATGTTTAAACTCATTTGATAAGAAACTAACTTGGCACAAACCATTTGAAGTTTGCATGGAAATTACTATGGGAAAACAAAAGTTTTTGTTCATTGTTTTCTAGCCTTTTTACATATATTGTACTGTTAACAAATTCTATTGCTATTCTTATGGGAATTTTTATCAGCTACATCTTAGCAGAAAATCGTGTTTCAGCCAAACGTCAAATTAAATAGTTATTAATAGTTTAAGAGATTGATAAACTTATGGCTAACTAACTGTATTGTGGGCAACACTGTATTCTGCAGTGTGACATAGTAGCCATGATTTTTGTCCTCTATTCTACGCGCCATAAACACCAATGTTGCCTGCTGAACAGTTGATTGAGCATAATCATAAGACATCAGTGACTTGAATCATTAATAATTTTTGTTTTTCACATTTCATCGAAAAGCTGTTGTAGCTGAGAAAATTTTCAACAAGCTCAGCTATCATTTTTTAAAGTAGAGTGAACTGGTGAATTTTGAGATAGATGTGAACCGAAATTATGATTTCTCTATAGTAATTCCCAAATATTCAAATGGTTTGTGCCAAGTCAGTTTCTCACTAAATGAGTTCAAATTTTGGGAGGCTAATCAGGGCCCAATTTGGAACCGTTTGAGCACTGTGGAGCGAAAATTTCAAATTTTGCATCATTCAGGTTTATCGGCGAAAAGTGATCAAGTTGCCACCGTTTGATTTAAGAAATATTATCTAAGTCCAATCTCAAATTCGAACTTTATTCTCAGTATAGAACAACAGAACTGCTCAGGAGGAAAAATCTCATAAAGTTATTGGCAAATCAAACGGAGAGTCACGTCACAACGACGTGACTTTTCTCACTTCACTAGTGACAAAAGTCACTTCGACTTACGGAATAACCCCCATTGTTTTCGGGCTAGTTTTATAAAACCATCGCTGTCACTTGTACAGCAAGTCATCATGCCAGATATTGTAAAGCATTTTTTCACGTCTAACAAATTTTTAGTAAGAATGTAGGTAAATGTTTTGGAAACAGACTTGTTGCGCCAAATAATGTTTGTGTTGGTGAAACGGCCTTTTCAAAAAACCAAACTGCTCCTTAAGTAAGACGTTGTTTTAATCGGCAGGTATTAGGAATCGCCCACCATTTCGGATTGGTTTCGGAGCATTTTCAATCAATCACTAGTTGCCAGGTTTGATCATTTTGTTTTTATTCTCATCAATACTCACTAAATAATAAACTTTTACTTGTTTCGTTTCTGCTCATCAACGCTGCTATCGAACACACTCTTTCCAAATAGCTAATTCTAACATTCCTTCCCTCGGGAGATACGCTTGGTACTCAACCTCATCTAATGTAAATTTTCCTTTGCCTAAAATTGATTCCCTTTTTCCGGTTTTCATCAATAATTCTTCACTATTACAATCTCATAAAGACTACTACATAGTCGTATCGTTTTGATTAGAATATAATCATACTGAACGGGGGGGAAATGCTAAACTGAAAAAGGATAGACATTGCATAAACTTTAAATCATACGGGTTAACTTTTATGTCCGAACGAATCGACTATGATTGATAGTAGTATTCATTCGAATCTTTTAAATATGTATTGAACAGCTTTTACGTAAAAAACATGCATACGTTTTGATTTGTTAAAAATTGTTATTACGTTCTATGTACAGCGCACAGCGACGACACGATATTGTCATTTGCCACTGACCCCAACGAGCGTCTCGTCCTCATCGGGTCCACCAGTACTGTTGGAACCACCATGCAACGGAAGAGGGCTCGGGACGGGCGATTTTACAATGTGAACCGAAACCGACGTCGGCGAAGTAACGGGTCCCGAACCGGCGGAACCAGCTGACGCCGATGCAGCAGCAGCAGCTGCTGCAGCCACAGCCGCAGCATTGCTGAGGGCACTGAGATGATGGTGATGGTTCTTCAGTGCAGCCACAAGCTGCTGAGTATTATCGAGCTTATTCATAAGCTGTGCAGCTACTGCTGCCGCTGCCAATGCTTGGGCAGGAGAAGTGCTTCGAAGGCCGTCCATCGAGTTACTGTTGGTATTAGCTTCTATTAGCTTGTCCGATGAACTGTGGTTGGACATGGTGCTGCTCGGACGTGACGGTGGTCGCATTAGACTGGCATCGGCAGAATCGCTACTATTGGAAAAGTCCATCGCGTGACTTTGCATATTGACCGGTGATGGAAATGGAGGCGGAATGGACCCGGTTGGAGTTGTGGGTGTTGTTGATCCTTTCCCATAGATAGAAGAGAAGCCATCTCGGCTATTGCTGGACGCTTGGTGTTCCAGGTTTGGTGATCTTCGAAGCAACATTGAACTATCGTGACCGGAAAACATTTTCTGCATCACGTTCGGTAACATGGACGAATGCAGTGGGGACACATCTCCCGGCAATTTGTTGAATGGAAGCGAGAAATCATTGCTACCGGTTGGAGATTGAGCAACATTGGGCAGTGGGGTGTTTGGTGCCGAAGAAGACGTCGGGCGAGATTCTTGCTTCAACTTGTCTACGTCACTTCCACCAGAACCACCAGATCTGGCAGAAAGCTTCGGGATTTGGAATTTTGTATCCAGTGTTTTGACGAATCCTTCCATGTTCTGGATGGATGATGTAAGACCGAGCATTTTCATGACATTCAATGCATTGGCATTGGCTGCTGCTTGAGCCGCCGCTACCATCGCTGCATTGGTGGCCATTAGCGAAGAAGCAGCAGCTGCAGCTGCTGCTGCAGCAGCAGAAGATGATTTCGAGCTACCTCGGGATTTATCTTTACTGCTGCTACCACCGGACGACGAAGAACCCGATTTAGATGATGATCTGATCGTACTGCTAGAACTCGATAATGACCCAGAAGAGCTCGACTTTTGAAATGGTGCTTTTGAAGATGAACCGGAGCTGGAAGATTTTCCACTGCTGCTGCTGCTGCTGCTAGGTAAACTGCCACTGAAGCTTTGTGAGCTTGGTAATTTCTTTGACGACGGCATAGATCCACTTGAAATGTTCGGTTTGATTCCCGATTTCGAGCTGCTTTTGGAACTTGATGACGAACTACTGCTACCACTCTTTGAGCTTTTCTTGTTCTGAATGGTAAGTTTGATTCCATCTGAACTTGGTTTGACCATATATTCCGAATTTTTTCCTTGCATGGCGGCAGCCGCCGAAGATAAATGGGCTGCCAAAGCAGCTGCCGCCGCGGCTGATGCTGCGGATGATCCAACGGAAGAGCCAGTGAGGTCTGTGGGAGCACACAAGGTAGGACATTACTTTCATTTGGTTTTGACTTGATGTTAATGAGTGGACCTTAATTCTACTGATTTTGTGGATGAGATGAATAACAGAACAAGGTTAGTGAATTGACTAAATGTGACTGATTTTTTGTATCTTTATTATCGAGATTTTCTGCCGTATAAAAAGTGACAGAGGTGATTTATTTTAAAACTCACTTGAAACCGGAGTCGTGGAGGTTGAGCTCGGTGTCGAGGACGAAGACGACGAGGAAGCAGTTTTACCGGAAGTGGTGGCTTCTTTCAATGAAAAACCAGCTTGTTGGGCCAGCTCTGGTAGTAGCATCAGTGTACTTTCGTCGCCACTTTGGGCCGATTTGAGCTTGTCGATCACAGCGCTGAGAGAGCCTTTGCGATTTTTCATTGCCTGCTGGAGAAGTAGCATTCCAGCAGCAGAAGCAGCGGCAGCAGCTGAAGAGTTTTTTGAAAGGTCCGCTGCACTAGCCCCGAATAATCCACTGTCGGTAAGATCTATACTGCCACTTCCCGAACTGCTTCCTCCGCTACTATTGCTATTCATCAGTTCCAATTGCACGCCGGCACTCAGTGCAGTACCACAATTGGTCAAATCCAGCTGTTTCAGTTTTATAGCTGGTGTTTTCAGTTTAGGGCTGGACGAGTTAGACGATGAAGAATATCCAGATTTCTTCTCGCTCTTATCTCGATCCCTGTCCCGATCGCGATCTCTAGAAGACGAAGATCCACTACTCCCACTTTTACTGCCACCACCGGATGACCCTTCCTCTTTTCCGCCACCACTGTTGGAAGACGATTTGGAACTAGGCGAACCGCTACTGGCTGCCGATTTTAACGCCGACATGCTCGGTTTACCTCCACCAGAACTCCCACCGGAGATATGCTTCGGTGATGATGTTCCAAAGCTTCCCTGATGCTTCGGGCTACTGTGATGTACTGGCGAGTGCTTGGGACTAGATTTGGACCCAGTTCCAGGGCTACCACCGGAGAGAAACAACTGACTCGATGAGTTACTACTCCCACTTTTGAGCGGTACTGGGGAAACGGAAAACTTCCGACTACTGCCCGATGGGGAAGCGGGTCCGTCCGAACTCTTGGAGAGTATCTTGTGTGGAGGTCCCATCTGCAGTTGGGCCAGATGTTCTTCGTGTTTACGTTTCTTTTTCTTCTCGAGCTTTGCTCGATCAGATTCACTGCTACTACTACCACTTTTTCGATTCAAGCTACTACTACTGCTTCCACTGAGCTTTTTGTCAGAACTGCTACTGTTGCTTTTCGATGATCCTCCAGAGGAACCCAACGGAATCGGGGTAATGGTAATCGAGGAGGGCACATTTGCAGTAGCATTAACCAATGGAATTATCTCAATCCCGGGCCGTTTGTCCAAACCGATATTGTTCAGGACGGAATTCGTAATCGAGCTTGTCGACTTCCCCACACCGATCGGAGTAATGCTAACCGACGACGTGTAGGAAGGCTTCTCTTCCGACATTAATTTGACTTCGGATTCACTCACTTCAACATTATCATCCAGATCCGAACTATTGGACGATCGCATTAAATCGGGATCCAAAGAGGAAAAGTCCAAATTTCCCAAGATGGAACAGTTTCCGGAGCTTTCACTGACATTTCCGGTAGTCGCTATCGTTGGTCCCATGCTGATTGAAGTAGGTGCTCCCATTACTGCTGCTGCTGACGACGATGATGATGATGATGACGATGACATGTGTTGTCCTACGTTTATTTGTTGATTTCCACCCAAAGAGTTGTTCGAGTCGCCACTGCTCAAGTTTGTCGACTCGTCATAATCATCATCGTCTTCCTCGTCCATTTCTTCATTTGCTCCTTCCGATTCTACCTTACTACTCTTTGGGCTTCTACAAAAATCCTCTCCTCCACGACGTTTCTTCGATGGGTCCATCGGTTCCAGCTTAATCTTTTTCACCTCACAGAAATCCTGATGCACCATTCCGCTGCCATTTAGACTCCCGTTATGTTGGCCATTCATAGCGGGTCCTCCTCCTCCATTACTACTGCCTCCTCCTCCGGGTCCCGCTGGACCGTTCCCTCCGCCTTCGTCGGGACCCATGGACAAGCTAAAATTTCCTTCATCCATGGCACCGTTTCCGCCACCACCGGCCGCCGCACCAGTACCCACTTTTCCCTTGAATTTGACTTCATATTCCTCCTGCCAAATTTTGATTAATCCCCGTAACGTCACCGGAATCGACATCGTCCGCTGAACAATCAACGAAACGCGATTCGATATTCCTTCGTCCGTCTCGTACCCATTGCAGAAGACTCGTACTTGAATCGCCAAAACGTTCCGCAAGTCGAACTCTACCATCGCTAGGGACTCTTCGAATGGATGCTCCAGCGAAACCGTAATATACTGACACGAGAGGGCGGCCACTTCAAACACCAGAAGATGTTCGTAGTCGATAACCCGTGTGTTGCTGGTCCCATTGTTTCGGATACAGCTGGACAGTAGCTGATTGAAGAGAGCTTGTTGCCGCAGAAAACTTAAAATCTTGGACACGTGTTGCGGTTCGGTGAATGGAATGCTACTGATGATGGTACCCTGGAAATTTGGAAGTAACGTTAGTCAATATAACGTAATTATGAAGTCATTGAGCATTTGAAAATGATAACCTACCTGTAGATTTTTATTCTCAGTCATATAGTAACAATGATACTGATCAGGCAGTGTCACAAACAATGCCTTGGCAATGTTATTGACAGCCCCGTTCGAAGCATGCTGCACTATCAAACTGATCAGACATGACTGACTACTATTACTAACCGGTTCGCTCGTCCCCGCCGCCGAGTTATCTCCAGTAATCGTTTTAATTTTCTTCAGCATAGCAATATTCAAAGCCATCGGTTTGTTCAATCTCAGCACGAAAGTAGCCGGTAGGGAAGTGGAATTATGCTTTTCTATTGGGCTGTACACGGGAGAATTTCCTTGATGCACCAAGAGTGGTTGAATCTGCAACTTATTAGCCGTGGACGCTTCTAGATTAATTGCCACACTGTAGCCAACCTTTTCCGCCGAAATTAGCTCAGCGTTCAGAGGTTTCATTTTCTTAGCTTCCAAATCCAATAAATCGTACGGTGCTATGTAGTAGGTCAACTTCATGGCGTGGCCTCCACGACGCTTTTGCACCACTCCAAGGGGAGACTTTAGCAACAGTGAATGGATATCAGTAAAAAGTTGAGTTGACAGCGAGTATAGATTGTACAGATCCGTCTCCAATGCTTGCAGCGCAACGAATGCGTTCACCTTTATCTTCTTCTCAGCATTCAACTGATAAATCGAAGCTAATCCTTCTAACTGGGTGGTAAAGTCGACAAAATCACCACGCTGTAGGCAAGATACTAGCTCACTACAGCTTTGCTGTTTCATTTTACACTCGTGATGCACTTTCACATCCTGAACGGTCCCATTTGGATCCAAGATGATTTCCAAATAGAACATGTCGGACGAAATGAATAATCCTGAAGTATCCTCGCTAAGTTTAAGACTACAAAAGATAATGCTTCGTTACATGACCTGAAATAGTATGCCCATTGTTTTACTTACCCAAGTTGACGCGTAAGGCAGTCGAGTCTTTCCACTAGGCCCTGTCGGGATGTTACTTTAATACAATACTGCATACTATCTAATGTTTTCTGCAAATTTGATTTTTCCACAGCGTCTAAGGCATAACGTTTTTCCTGCAGAAATATCAGAAAATTTACTGTTTAATTGACTCACGAACGTGATGTCAAATCTATTCTTACCAATAAAGACATCCGAACAGCTTTCGACATTTCCTGAAACGATTTGTACTGTGACGATTTCGCTTTGCTTCTAAGCCGCTCCATGAGCAGTTCCATTTGCCAGGATTCATGTTTGTCAACGGAACCGGACGCCACACTCGCGGAACCCTTGACCGATACAACTCCAGCTGCACCGGATTTCGATTCCAGTTTGGGCTGTTTCCCTCCGTTGGCCATGATGATCGCCGGGAGTGATGACCCCAAACCGCCTGGCGCAGTCGAGGACATTGCGCGTCCTCTTTATCCTACGTACTCTATTCACTTTGAATGAGATAGGAACATGAAAACACAAGTTAGTATACACAAGAATCGTCGCAATCAGGATCGTCATAGTATGACAGCTTCCATTAGCCATTAGGGCGAGGGTAAACACCGGTGGCACGGATAGGGGCGACATCAAAATTGAGAGCATGATAGCGCGAAAAGAACAAGCAAATAAACAAGAAGAATCTACTAACACCACCACCAGCAACAGCAGCGGAGCAGGTCAAGTCAAAGCAGCGAGTAACAGTCGCTATCCATCGTCGGTCGACTCGACGACGGGCACACATACCAGACAGCAGCAAAGGGGAATATTTTTTTTCTTGACGAGGCTGGCATTTTTCGCTGCCACCAGAAGGTCGATCGAAACTTACCTATTGGCCTCTCGGCGAACGCTGCAAACACCTTAACCGGACGCCAGGAGCACTCGGGTTACGATTTTTAATATTTAGGGACACATTTCTGCTACTTAAAGGGTGATTTTTCACTTCCAAATCGGGTACAAGCAGACTCGAAGCAACTTTTCTATCCACCATGACATGATGGTTGACGACTCTCTCTTTTCCACTCGGTTGCAACGACTTCGGCTCGTACAGGGCGAAGAGGGAAAATACGAAACGAAATCCAACTGCAGCACCGTACGGTTGGTAACGGATTGAAGTACCAGCTCGAAAATAGTACAGTATCCCCCCGCTAATCCAAAACTAGTTCGTTGATCTTAATATGAGCCTTTTGCCAACAATCAATAAATTGGCAAATCGACTAACGTACTCTATTCTAGTATAAATTCCAGCACTACACTATGTTTGTTTTGATTCGCTATGAAAGTTTGGCAGATAAAATGAGGGGTTAGTGGATTTTCCTATGTTTCGAGGGGTGAACCGATTAGCTTGGGACCGAAGATAGTACCAGAGCTAAGCCAAAAAGTTGAGGTCTTTTCTTCGGGACCTTCTGGTCTTAAGTGGACCCTACACGATTGCATTTATTGACAATAATCGTATTGTCAATACATTCTATATCGACGTCAATACATCGAGATTGACAATATTTCTGAATTCACATCATCAATATTATTGTCAATAATTCCCCTTCGCGTCAATATACTGATACGTGTGGGATTTGCAATTTTTATAGATACCATTTTTGTTTTTTGTGTGTACATAAAAAAGTTTCCTTATTCTCGATTTGATTCAGATTTTCAAAACTTGTAGTTCAGTTAATGAATAAAAACTTTGCTGAATTGCCGGAGACGAACCAGCCCAGGACTGAAAGTCTCCTTAATAAATATATTAAAAAAAAAACTTTGCTGAAGATTGCATCCTTTTTATTTTTTTGTGGAGGCAGCTTCCGCACCTAGACCCTACCTATCGACCCATCAACTCATGAACCGGGGACCAAGAGATTTTTTTTTTAATTCTTAATTAAAGAGATTTTTAGCCTTAGGCTAGTTCATCTCTAATTGGACCAAGAGAATGATTTTCTCACCTAAAGGCACAAATGTAGAGGTTGGCCCGTGGAAAATTGGAATTTTTTTTGTGGGCCAGTATTGTAGCCATGTGATTTACGAAAGAGAAAGTCGATGTAGAGAATCGATCAATATTGGTCCTTTTGAATAATTGAACAAGAAAATTTCATTAATGTATAAATTCACATTCGACTCAATTTTGAGTTACTCTCATCGATCGTGTGTTCACTTTTTCTCTAGTACTGCAACTCGATTCATTCGCGTATTCGCGAGTCTATCTTGTATCCAGGCTTATGACTGTCAAAGACATTGTTTACCTTTTCGTAGCGTTTGATCCATTCACAGCGATTCGTAATTATTTTCCGGATAATATCTTCCACTTATAATGTATTTCCTCTCGATAAAATTCAACCAGAAGTAGATTCATAGCAACACATAATTTTCCTCTAGTCATAATGGTAACACATAAGTGCAATAGACTTCCTACCGAGTTGTGCAACCGATACCGATCCTGCAGAGGGCAGCTTAGCGTACACTAGCATAGTTTGTTGCTATGAGATTCTGCTTTCTACCACGATTGACCGGAAAATTCCGGCTTCGTTGCTGCTGTCTGCTGACGATCCTCGCACTGATAACGTTCTCATATTTATTAGTTAATTTGGTAATAACGGTGAGTATTTATTTTTTTAGAAAAGTTAATACTGAGCTAAAGCTATGTGTTTCAGCACACGTCAAAGAACCAGTGTACAAGATGCTATGAGCCGATGGACGTGGTTTACACCTGGGTCAATGGCAGTGATAAGAGATTTCTAGATCAGATCAAGCTGTACTCACCGTTCAGAGATAAAGCACGGTACGATGATAAGAACGAACTGAAATATTCGCTTCGTTCGCTTGAAAAGTACGCTCCATGGGTCAGAAATGTCTATATCGTGACCAATGGACAGATTCCATTTTGGCTTAATCTGGAAAATCCTAAAGTACAAATTGTACAGCATGCAGACATAGCAGATGACGGCACAATGCTTCCGACGTTTTCCAGTGCCGCCATCGAGACGTTCATTCATAAGATTCCAACACTTTCGAAGGACTTCCTGTACTTGAATGACGATATCTTCCTAGCAGCTCCACTTTTTCCGGATGATTTGATAACATTGTCGGAGGGAGTAAAGGTATTCACCGCTTGGCAGGTACCAGATTGTGCCCTAGATTGTCCGTGGATGTTCGTCGGCGACGGGTCGTGCGATAGCCATTGCTATGTGGAAGAGTGTCAGTTTGACGGAGGAGATTGCGACCATCCGGACTATCAGAATCATATGCATGAACTGGAGGATTATAACATGTCGAACGAGGGGGAGGATACGTTTATCGATGTGCCCAAGACATTTCCCAAGGGAGTGAAAAAGACAGATAATATAAGGGACATTTATGAAATGTTCAAACGAGTTAATGGTTCGTCCACGAAGCAACTGGTGGAGAAGTTTAATAGGGAAAAATTGAAAAGTAATAAATCAACCTCGAAGAAAAGTTCGGTCAAAAACGAAAACGAACGAGAGGACAAAAGTGGCGAGAAGCTGTCCAACTCTAAAGATATTTTTGCCCACTCATTGATTCATACCAATAAGATGTTCAACCAGGTTTACGGATTTAAAACTAGAAAAGTCCTGGCCCACGTTGGGTTTCTGCTGAATGTGGACGTTATAGAGGCTATGTTGGTCCGGTTTTGGAAGGAGTTTGCCGTTACAAAAAGTCATCGCTTCCGAGAGAAGAATGATCTCCAGTATGCCTTCACATACTATCACTTCTTGATGAGTGAAAGCAGAAACAAAAGCGTTTCGGAAATTTTTGATGACTTCGATACCGATGGATCGGGGTAAGTGGAAATTTATCAGCAACAAGTCGATTTGAATTCTTGTTAATTAATAACGGTATTTTGTCTAGGACTTGGTCCGATCGAGAGATTCGAACGCTGTTAGCAAAAATATACAACCTTCCTCTGGACTGGTCAGCGGTGAGGTACTTCGAAGAAGTTGTTACCAATTGCTCCCTGCACCAGAACAACTATCTTCCTCTGGAGCATCAATTAGAGCAAAAGTTTGTTTATTCAACTTTGGTTTATGAGCGATATGAAGACTCTACCATTGTAAGTTCCCCGGTTCACGTTGGTACTGGGACATCACATTGATTCTATCTCAATTTCAGCCTACCGTCACCAAAGGCCTGGTGTTGGCATGCCGCGAATTGACCGACATGATGAAAATGAACTTCGCACAGGTTCCACTGTACAAATTTCACATCAATCAAAAAACTGGAATCTACAGCAACTTCAAGATGCTGACGTCGAACATCACTCAGGTGGTCGATGCACTGGATGAACTGCGAAAAAATCCCAAGAAATTCAACTGCATTAACGATAACCTCTCTGAGGACAATCCCGAGGAGAACCAATTGATCTCAGCTCTCTTGGAAGATTTCTATCTCTCGCTCTTTCCGGTCCGAAGCCAGTTTGAGCTGGAGAACAACTATCGGAATAGATTTCAACACTATAATGATTATCGGGCGTGGTTTTCCCGTAAGACACTGTTCCGGAACGTGGTATATGTAATCTGCGTGGTAGCGTTCATGGTTTGCGTCAAGATACTCTGCTTCCGCCACAAAGGTAAATTCGCTCGAACGTTGGTGTTCCTTAGTAGCCGAAGTGATTACAGCACTATTTGACGGTTACACTGCTAGAAATTAGGGAATATTATGCATAATTTTGTGATTCTTACTTTAATTTATTGAAATACAATACGACAAAATGTGACGCAAGAAATAAACTTTTCAAAACACAAATCCACGCAAGCTTTTCAACATCCCAACTATTTAGGTGGGTACACACATTTTAAATCATCTAGTGCTTCATTACACAATCTTTGGTAAGGCACGTCGAAAAACATCCCGTCTAGCCGCCGTTCGAAGTCTGAGACAAACCACCCGTTGAAAGCCCTATGCCGGGCTGGTAAAGCGAACGTCGTCTGTTGAACTTCTTGTACGCGAAGAAGCCTCCTACAGCGCACACAACTATGGTTACGGTGACAGAAATGGCCACGATCGCTGTCAGGCTTATAACTGAAACGTAAATGAAAAAAAAAACAGGACATAAAGTCAATCTTATATTGTTCCGAAAACATTACCACCCTCACCTCACCTTCTTCAATCAATTCCATTCCGATCGTGTAATCTTTCCCTTGAACTTTGATCGCACATGTCCACCAGCCAAAATCTTCTCTCTCCACCTCTGTGATTTCCATGCCGCATTCTCCAGCTCGTAGTCCTTCTCCATAGTACCTGAACCTTGACCCATCCCCTGGCACAACATTTTCCGACAAACCGTGAACCCCCCCAGAAGGACTTACAAATCTACATATCTCAATCGGAAGCTCCAAGATAGTCTTACACAACATCCTCTTGCTCTCGTCACCCTTGCTTGCCTTAATCTGAGAAGGAATCGCTTTGCCCGGCTGGCCGTAAACTTTTACATCGAAATAGCTCATCCGATCCTCGCCACCGTTAGCATCGTTGAAGCCGCAAGCCCACAATCCACTCGTTATGTTTGAAACTTGGAACTGGCAAAATCCCAACGTTTTCAACCGGTCAAACGAATCTGGGGCATAGTTTCCACCCTGAGGACCCGTAAGGTAGCAATAATCGATCGGATGGCTGGTTTCACAGCTTAGCTCGGTCATCGTCGTACTAGCGGACCGTGGATCATGAAACACCTCTATCAATTTTGTCGGTGGTGGCACAAGCAAGTCATTTTCGTCGGCGAGTTCGTCGTGCTGTGATTCCACATTGAACACACAACCGGTGTATTCGCTAGCGGAGAGAGGTAGATAGATGCGCCATATACCGTAGTCCTCCTTGAGGAGAGGCTTCTTTATCTCCAAGGCACAAATTCCTAACGATACTCTGAAATTTGTAAATTAAGGTGAGGTCTGTAAAATTTCGCCGTACGTTTGCAAGTCCCCTTTTTGAACTAGGTATCATATGGAATTATTCGTACCGTGAGGTACCATTTCACGCATTTTTGTAAAATTCAAACCAAATTTTTAATGAGGATTTGCTATAAATTTAGATAGGTATTATAGTGTATGGGAAAAATATAAGTTTAGAAAATATCAAAATCCACTACAAATTGTGGTAAAAATGCGCGGAGTTAGGTGACACGCGAAATTATTCATGGTATTCAAATGCCTAAGAAAAGCTAGTGAATGTCGATGCTTGAAAACGACTTCCAGCGTAACTACAAATTTTGATAATGTAAAAGATGAAGACCAGTGCTGAGATTTGTCATTGTCATTGACAGACTTTCACGCGATATTGAAAAAATTGTTCGTCACATAGTCACTGACAGACTTGATCCTCAAAAAAACCTTCGTCAAAATCTCATTCATTTTTTCGTCAATGACAAAGATTCACCTGGTAACAAAAAATGTAATTTCGTACATTCTGTGTCACATTATTGTTATCCAAGTTGTTCAGGAGGTAGATGCTTGGTCACATTAACGGCTTCATGTAATTGTGTTGCTCAAGTCAGTAAATTTCGTCATTCAAATAATATAAAAATCTACACATGTTCGTCACTGACAGCATTGTCATTGACAATTGACATGGTTTGCCTTGACTATGACTGTTAGCTCAAATGAGTGACCAAAGCAGAATTGTCAATATCACCGTGTATTGTCGAGATTTTGCAGCACTGATGAAGACCCCAAACGCCGTTACTCCGAAAAACATTTTTTCTTTTGTTATTTATTAGAGAGATTTTCAGCCTCGGGCCCCGAAAAACATTATTTTGGAGGAGATGGGGCAGTTTGACACAAAATTATCACTTATGATACAAATACCAGCGAAAAATTCGAGTGATTTCCAATTAACTACAGTTCATTACTAGTTACAGGCCTTCTGCACATCATAAATACAAATATAATATGAAAAGTAAACATTTTACTCGCAATAGCAAAGATTAAAAAAGAGGTAAAAGGAACATTTATGTAGCAGCTGAAGAAAGATTACCGATTAGGTATTAGAAACTAAGTAGCAACTTGATTGTGACTAAAATTAGTCCTATAATAGTTGTGGGCTATAAGGGTTAAATATTGGTTAATTCAATTGCTGGGGAAATGATTAAGATTTGATAAAAGTAGGGCTGACTCGGAAGAGGTTTGGACAACGAATGATAAAAGCTATTTTATTATTATTATGGCCTTCAATTCTACAATAGTTCAGTGATTAGGAACTCTAACATTCTCCCTTAACCTGTTCTAACGTGGTCTAGTATGATGATGTTCTGCTCTAACTTTTCACGCACAAAATTATACCGGATATTCAATACAGTCAACTCTCCATAACTCAATATTTAAGGGACCATCGAATTATAGAATTATCGACTTATTATAAGAATATAGAAAATATTTTTTTATCGTCTATAATTTCAAGAATAGTACCGGAATACTCCATTTACTGGAATATCTAGCTTTATTTACTCATATGATTTAAAGTTCGATTTATGGAAGTTCTGAGTAGTTAATTTATAATATTAAGCCAATATACACAAAATACGCAATTGCCAGCTCTTGAAATTTAATTTGTAAAATATCAAAGGTTTTGGTCATTTCTGGATGTTGCACTCTCGCCCTGAGGGTGTCCGGCCATTAGGGCGAATGGTCATTAACCCAGATATAAAAACATTTTGACGAGCTTCCTTATACAGTAGTTAAGTTTTTAAGATTTCTCCAGAAAATTCTCTCCTCATAATTCACTTTGAATTATCGATAAATTCCTATGGAACTTTTCCTTTTAAGTTTTGCTCAGGACTCCCATAAATTCCTTGAAATGATCCTCACAATTTCCTTTGAACTCTTATTTGAATTCTCTAAAAATTATCACCATGAAATATTCCTTGAAATTTCTTTGGAATCATCCTCGGAATTTTCCTTGGAATAACCATGAAATGTTCCTCAGTAAAAATCCTTTGGAATTATTCGCAGAATTGTCAATCGATTAATTTTCGAAAACCCATGAATTTTAATCCTTCCCATGGAACTCTAATCACTTTGAAAGTTTCCTAAGAATTCGCTTACAGTGAAGTAACACATTCCATAGATTTCTCATCAAAAATTCCTTGGCATTCAAATCAGAACTCTTCTGGAATTCTTATCCGAGTTCCTTTGATGATTTCCTGGAATTAATTTCAGATTGAATTGTAATCCTCCGAAGAACTCCTTTGGAATGAGTTTTTGTTTGGAAAATATCATCTAATTTCATGTGCCTTTAAAATTATACAAGGTCCTTAATTTTGATGTTTTTCAAATCTGTGATCTTGGAAAATACCTAGAATATAGGTTTTTGAAAATTTCTCCGATTTAAAAGATTTAAAAAAAAAGGTTCAAATATTAAATTTGATTATTCAGCCATCCCTAGGCTTACACAATTCGACATACCAGAAGGTCCCTAAGAAACGTGCTCAACTTTTTGGCTCAGCTCTGGTACTCTCTTCGGTCCCAAGCTAATCGATGCACTCCTCGAGCATAACTCTGGAACGCCGTTTTGCACCAAACTTGGCATACGTATTCCTTGCTATAAGAAGATGGTTATAGGGGGTAGCCCCTTAGATAATAAAGAGGGGGCTACGTACAATATAGCATGCTTTTTTGAATCGGCGCATAAACTCAAGCTAACATTGAATCCCAAGCAAGGCCGGGCACACTCAGCTAGTAACCTGATAAAAGTAGGTCTGACAAGAGTGCGCATTTTATTAAATATTTCAAAAACGTCTATTTTAATTGAATGAATAACAATTCAAAATTGGACCTTAGTTCGTCATCTTTACGCACATATTATTTGTATTCGCTCATCTGTTTTCTTTGTTCATATGTTAAGAGTTGGTAGTTTTTACCCTTCTTACAAAGAAGGGTATAGATATCACTTGAAAAACCGACTATCGATCCGAGGCCCGGAGGGCCGAGTGTCATATACCATTCGACTCAGCTCGACGAGATCGGAACATGTCTGTGTGTGTGTGTGTGTATGTGTGTGTGTATGTAACGAAATTAATGCGCTCACGTTTCTCAGCAACCGCTCAACCGATTTGGACAAACTCGGCGCCAAATGATAGGTCTTGGGGTCCCATTGAACGCTATTGAACGGTTTTGGAATCGGTGAACCGGTTCCGGAGATATGGCCGGAATAAGATCCGGTGAATATGGGCCTTCACGCTGGATTTAACGGAAAACGTATCAAAACCATCATATACCATTCGACTCAGCTCGACGAGATCGGAACATGTCTGTGTGTGTACGTGTGTATGTGTGTATGTGTGTGTGTATGTAACGAAATGAATGCGCTCACGTTTCTCAGCAACCGCTCAACCGATTTGGACAAACTACCCAACAAACAATTTTAGCTGCAGATTAGCTTATACAGCCAAAATTTGCCTTATGCAGCTAATTTTTGCCTGTATAAGCTAAGCTGCAGCTAAAATTGTTTGTTGGGTAGGCGCCAAATGATAGGTCTTGGGGTCCCATTAAACGCTATTGAACGGTTTTGGAATCGGTGAACCGGTTCCGGAGATATGGCCGGAATAAGATCCGGTGAATATGGGCCTTCACGCTGGATTTAACGGAAAACGTATTAAAACCATCATGCGACACATCAAATTACTACAGAATTCAAAAATAAGATCAATGCAAGTCGTGTTAAGTGTTCCAGACCACATTGGACACACTTGGACATGTTCCGGGTACCCCGGGGAAGTTGCTTGAATATGAATTGAATTAAAACCCATTAAATCACATTAAAATACGATGATAAGGTGATTGGTAGCCTCACCAAATAGACTACACCCGGATATATTCCGGGTACCCCCAGGCAGTGGCGTAGCGTCACTGGATGACACGGGGGTGGGGGGGCTTGGTCACTGATAATGACAATAAAATAAATAAACTTGAATAAGTAAGAAGGGTCTGATCACACTATAGGTGGATAAATTCGGGTTTTTAGCGGTGGAAATTAGCATAAAATCGTACTAATCTGATGTAATTTATATATTCCGTAATATTATTGCACCAAAGCATACTAATTAAAGATTAAAAACAGACCCCATCAACATTTTTCAAAATCGAAACGATTTGAGCTACTACTACTCTTGCTCCACTCGAAGTCAATAATGAAAAGGGTCTCCCATAAATTACGTCTTTCCTATATCGTCTGCTGATACATACCATAAAGTGCCAATCATATAGATCAATCTTAATACTGGAATGCTTAGGTTATAATCTTCATCTATAATATCGTTATACCGCTTCAAAAAAAAAATTAAATTTCTTATCCAAATGCAAATATCGAAAAAAAATGAGATAACTTTTTGGTGGATTATTCAAAATACACAATATTTTTCTAGGAAGCTTGTTTTCAGTAGAGGCTTCAATCGAACTTATAATAATTGGTCCATCATTTCGTATACCTGCCTTTCTCGGACCAATGCGTACTTTTGTCGCCTGCGTACTCTTGCTCCACTTTACTCTACGGGTTGTGTTTAGCAGGCCGAACATTAGATTGAGTGTGAGTGCGTGAAACTGCAAGTGAATCTCAAGTAATAGTTTTGGTTTGTAGGTTCCATGATTTTCCCGGTTCTTCATCAAAAATTCCCCAGTTTTTCCCAGGTTACTTATTCAATTCCCGGTTATTTCCCAGCTATCCCCGTTCTGTGCCACCCTGATACTTACTTGGTGTTATAAGCTGAATAACGATCTGCCAGGTGTGCATCCAAAAGCATCATCTGTCTTCGACTTGCCAAGGACACCGCTCGACAGGGACTGACCTTCGATCGATAGTGACAGGTCAATACGACGTGTGAATCATTTTCCTCAATTGACCATGTCACATCGCGCTTACTTTCTAAGTAATAGCACATAATTAAATAATTATCTCGCATATATCATCAGTGGAATGCAATGCACTTACTCTCCACCAGCACGTTGATCACAGTCTCCGTTTCGTCCATATCGCCCCAGTAGAGCATTCGGCAGCGAAACTGAGCCGTTTTCCAAGTAATTTCGAACGACTTTGAACAACCGTCGTAGATACCGTCTGCCTCGTCCATTATGCGACAGAATCGGCGTGAACTGTCTTCGGGACAAGTGACCGTATACGAGCGAACCGTATCACTGATGGTGACATTCAGCGTGCTAATCTGTTTGGGGACTGTCAAAACGCGCGATTAAATCATCAGATTTATCAATCAATGTTAAGCTTATCCGTTTGCTATTATCTACAACTTACTTGACACTTCTACTTTTAATTGCTTCTCAAAACTCTTCGAATCAGAATCCAACGCTGACAAAGTCCACAAATCCAGTGATTTGCGTACATTTTGCACTCGAATTCCACAAGCATCTACACCAAACCGTTGCACCTTAGTCAGTCCATTAATCACGTGTATTTGATCACTGTCCAAACTGTACGAGGCCCCGCCAACGGTCACCGAGCAGTGGATCCATCGCACCGGATCGCCAAGCTGATCTGAAATCAGGTGAACTAGAAATCCGGCACCTTCCCTGATCACCAATTGATCGGTTGGGAAAATCGAAACACCATTCACTAGTGCCACCGGTAGACATAACACGGAAACGAGCAGCAATACGCCCACGCTTGGCATTGTTCCAGGCGCCAGCTCTAATATTACACGAGCCGATATTATACACTATATGCTGGTGAAGAAATGCCAGTAAACGATCAATTCGACCAGAGCGACTGAAATCTTACAAACGAGTGATTGGGTACATCGCATCTACCACGCACGAAAGCAATTACATACCTAATTTGTGACACAGAAAAAATATACTGATGTGAGTCGTGTAAGCTAAAAATAATCAAATTTGGAATAACGCTTCTGTTGAAATGGTAACGATTGCTTCTGAAGACAACACACAATCGCAAAACGCGGATAACACAAAAGAGAGCTACTTACTACAACTGCAAGTTTCCATCAATATATGTGAGTTCCCTGAAGAATTAATACTATTGCGCATTTTGCACCACTTTAGACTCTTGTGTATTTAATTTTTATGACCAGTGCGAAAATAGTGTCCAATCAGGTACGAAATCAGCAATAATTCTAGAGCAATTTGACAAAACGTCCTGTGGATCAATGAAAGATTCTCTTCATCAATTTTCCCTCGTTCGAATAAAATGGCGATGTACAACGATTTACTGTTAACGTTGTCTAAAGGCTATTCATAGAGATGTATATTTTTTATTACGTAGTGTTTTTTTACATTCTAGTCTTTTAAAAACATATGAGATCATTCGTGACTTTTCCGGGATGATAATTGAGCTTGTGGCGTTCAGGGAGAGAAGCATGGATGCAAATTATTTCGTAGGGTAATTAGAAAACATCGATGCAGAAAATCCCTGCGATGTTTTATAAATTTCCTCTAGAAATGTGTTTCATTATCGCTCTGCATGTGTTGTGCCAAGCAGCTATGAGTGATTAGATATATATATATACGATGGAAACAACGGTCTTGAGAGTGGGAGGATGGGCTCCGATAAACTTATAACCGCTTGATGGCCAATAGAGCACTATAAATCGTTAGCAGTGTTCGGCGGCATATTTATTGCTTGATAGATATCATCGGCTTGTTATTTTGTACTAACTCTAAAACCCCCACGTAAAAAAACTACCCCATTTAAATTTAAAAATATTTTCAGAATAAACAGATTTTTTTCAAAATCCTTTAAGGTGATACCACCGACAAACCGAAACGGCTGCACAGAAATGGAACTTCGGATCCAAAAGTGGTTCCATAATATTTTTGTGGACACTAGCGCATCTAGCGGTAGAAGGCAAACTTTGCCTGCAGTTTGCATGAGCAGCATGCTTTAATGGTGTGAGTGCCCATAGAAAACCCGTGTGAAGCGCATCCACACGCATCGCTTGGTGAACAAACATTTTCTCCCACTTTTTGAAACACTGATTCTTTCACACTTTCACTTACGTTCTGTGATGGCTGCTTGTATTGATATTAAAAAAAAACTGGTGAAATTTTCTTCCTTTCTTCACTACACTGAAAAAAGTTTCCACTTAAATTCTATTAGGAACGCACATAGTATTTTTCCAAAAACAAAAACAATGATTTTTACCTAGTATTTTACATAGCATTACAAATTCTATATGAGAAATCATATAGATTTCATTGGACACATAACATTCATGTGATTTAGTGGTGCAATTTTCAATTATGGGATCACATGAAAGTTATGTGAAATTCACATGGATATTTTCCACTGTTTATGTGATTTATTTTATGAGTGTAGCTCAATTCGATTATGTATACATCTTAGGGTAAACAGGTATAATACGCCCCCCTTAAGGAAAAGTAGCTATACTTTTACCGTTTCATTTTAATTAACGGTATAATCACGTTATACGTTGGATTGGGAATTAGAAATAAACTGTAATCATTTATTTGTCTTCAGTGGCAGTTAACATAGAAGTAAAGATTTTTTTTTAGAAAACATTAAAATTCTGAGTTTTTCAATTAGGCGGCCGAACGATAACCCAAATTATAGAACTATTTCACAAATGGTTTGGAGGATTCCCTGAACACGTCGTTAAGCAAAATAACCATAGCAATAGGGCGGGGCAATATATAAACTAATATGCTCCCACAACAAAGGGACTGTATGCTCTATTCTAAACGGATAGTGCACCACTCACCAAAAGTGAGACAAGCCCCAGAGCATTAATTTTAGATGCTGTATGAGACATAAAGATGGAATAAACTCTTTCTTAAAGATGCTTACCGAAATGGCGTAAAAATACAAAGGTAGGGTGCTTTTAAGGATTTTATTCTTATAATTTATTTGCAACAATTGAAAGCTTACTTAATACTTGGATTTCCCATCAGTACACGTGCGACCGCTAAGCTTATTGCACACACACTATTGCGTCTTCTAATCGATCGAGTGCGGGCAGGACGGTTTCACACCATAGTCAGTGTCACTCGAGCCATAACAGCAATTCATAAAATAACGAACATTTTGGATGGCCTGACACTTGCCTTTGATAAAAATAAAACACGTCTACTGAGAATTCATATTTCTAAAAAAATCATCTATCAATGAAACAGTCATCGGTCAATGCAACTATGTTCTGTCAATCTAAAGGCCCACGCACATTAGATCCGGATCGGACGCGTTGCGGCAAATTGACAGCTAAATCTATTGTCTAACTATCAAATTTACGTCAACGCAACGCAAACGGATCTAATGTGGCCCTTAACTGAAACTTTTATTGACTCTGTTGTCTTGTGAATTTTAGCTATAATAGCCTCTTTTCTGATTTTTATCTCCCAATCTATGGAATATACACGAAAACTATGTTTGAACGAAATTTTTAGAACAGTCTAAGGAACATTATGCCGTAACTTATTTTTTTTATATCATATGGGTGGAAAGTTCGTAGAACAAATACTTTAAAATTCTTCACTTTTTAAGATATCTGAAAGTTTCATGCTCGAAGATATTCTAAAGATGTTCTAAAAATTTCGTTCAAACATAGTTTTCGTGTATATTCCATAGATTGGGAGATAAAAATTAGAAAAGAGGCTATTATAGCTAAAATTCACAAGATAACAGAGTCAATAAAAGTTTCAGTTAAGGGCCACATTAGATCCTAGTCAAACTTCAATAATATCACTTTGAATAGTCAACCTTTGGTCACAAAGTTGGTAGATAACACATTTAGCTTTGCTATGAAAGTTGTTACAGCAGTTTTCGTTGATTCAGTCTCGAGATACAAATATTATAAGCCGTAAATTACCTTAAAAACATAAAATTAACTTGAAGCACCTCTAAATCATCACCGATTTTGCTGAAAATTTGCACAGAAGCTCAAATTAACATGACGAACAGTAATCACGGTTGACCTGGTGCATCCCGAACACTTCTGTTAAAATGAACAGGTACATGCTTATCACATACTTTTTACGTGAAATTCCCGTAGTATCAACCGACATGAAAATTACGTAAATTATATCAAAATTGCATATGACATTGATCTGCGGTACGTGAAAATGATTGAAGTGGGATGTTTAAGGGTTTTCGTGATTTTTCACGTAGAATCAACGTGAAGATTTTTTGGAGTGTAACAGGGTGTCGACTCAATGAAGAAAACTAAATTTCCTGATGTCCCCTGATTTTCAATGTTGGCACTCGTGGAGAATAGAAGAACTATGAGAGTGATGATGGTTTCAACATTTTCCTCGGGGAGGTATACGAGTGCAATCTTAAAATGCTTTTATTTTGCAAATGGAGCATTTTATTTAAATCTGGTTGCTGCTACAGTTGTAGAAAACCAGAAATCTATGTCTGGATATAAAAATCTGAAAGAAATTATTTTTTCTATATTAGGTATATGTCTATTAAGTAGGCCTTAAGGTTTCTACTAGCGTAGCATTAACCAAATTTAAATAAAATGCTCCATTTGCAAAATAAAAGCATTTAAAGATTGCACTCGTATACCTCACCGTGTATCATTTTGAAACCATCATCACTCTCATAGTTCTTCTATTCTCCACGAGTGCCAACTTTGATTTGCCAATTAATAAAAAAAAAATCCAGGTTCAGTGCCTACCCACAACACGACCTCATCAGCTATTACTTTCCGCAGATATGTACTAGAACTTTCTGGATTTTTTTCATGAAATGCCACATGAACCTCTAACTCAATACAATCTCAAATTGAATAAAGTATTCGACACATTTTATAGAATACAAAAAAGATAGAAATCAAGTGTTTCCAAAAACTGGAAGGCACCTCATTTTTGTAAATTTTTAATTTTAAACATGGTAAGCGCCAGTAGCCGGGATGTAACATTTTTTTTTAATTATGATATATATCTAAGTTTTTTTTAACGTTGTTCCTGCCTTGGTAATTCAGTATTTTAAACAGGGTTTCTATAACTGCATGTCAGTAACACAATTGACATCTTTTTTTTTTCTTCATTAAAGAGACTTTCAGCCTTGGGCTGGTTTGTCTCTGGCTAATTGACATCTTAAAACTAAAAACTAAAACTAAATTTTACCGATGTATAATGAGGATTAATCGTTGCAAAAATCTTTTTAATTGGTATCTGGCTGACAAAAATCTGTATAATTTCTTAATTATGTTCTCAGTGCAGATTTGCTTAAATCTCCATTGAGTACATTCATAGTTCAGAAGGAATTTGTACAATGTTTGGCCCTTACAAATAATGGGTTGTTAAGAACCATTACCATTCGAAATTCTTGTTTTCTCCATACATTTCCAAAAAACACAAACGTTCATGTAAAGTTCCATAACCATTTCAGTTAAAGTTTAGCAGGGATTATAAACAATTTTTACCATTTTAGGTAAGGTCAAGTTATGGTTCGCGCTTATGCGGGCACACATAAACAGAATCTACTCAGAAGTACACATGAAATGTATGTGTCAAATGAATAGTACACATGGTTTTTGTCCGACACATAAGATATGGAGGCAAACCAGCCCCAGGCTGAAAGCCTCCCTAATAAAGATAAATTAATTAATTAATCCGACACATAAAATATCATATGTTGATCACATTGCAAAAATTTATGTGTGGGACACATAAATACAATCTTTGAAAATTTCTTAGTGTAGGGACACACGAAAATACCATCAAAAAACACCTATAGGAACACACAAACAGCCATATTGCCCCACAATACCCTACATCATGTCAGGGCATTGTTTGACTAATACAGAGCACTCAAGTTTACCTATGACAGTCGGTGATGGTGTTGTCGAAGTCGTCATTTACCTTTGAAGATTTTAAATGATATGTTGTGACCTTGACTTACAGACACAACGATTTCAGAATGTTGTATAGCCATACACACAGTCTCACCTAATAAGATAAAAAATTGCGAAAAGCAATATGTATATCTATTTTCGACGGTAATATTTTGTTACATAAGGAAATAGTGAAAACCACTCTCCCCTATTCTATAAGCTGACAAATGACAAAGTATCAAAACAAATGATAAGTGTCAGAAATGTTGCCTCCAATATTTAGTATAAACAAACACATCTTCAAGTTGGTCATTATTAAAGCATCGACCATCCGACCGTTTTCCACTGGTGGAAATTGTTTTTCCAAGCATCCGCCAATGGCGCCCGTAAAAGCAGCGCTGATTGACTTGAGCGGCACTCTACACATAGAGGACCAACCCACGGAAGGTGCCGTGGAAGCACTGAATAGGTTTATCATCTCTAGCTCGGATCATATATTGCTTTTCACAATTTCGATACTGGTGTTTTAGATTGCGAGAGCTGGGAATTTCGGTAAAATTCGTCACCAATACGACCAAGGAAAGTGTATCGTCGCTTTATGCACGGCTCGCCAAAATTGGATTCCAACTGAAGCAGAACGAAATCTATAGCTCCCTCACGGCAGCATCCCACTACATTCAGAATAATGGCCTCAATCCGTACTACATCGTGACGGATGATGCTCGGAAAGATTTTCCAGCAAATGATAGTACACGGGAACATGATGCTGTCGTGATAGGCCTAGCTCCAGAGCGGTTCTCCTACGACTACATCAACGAGGCATTCAGAATACTACACAATAGCAAGGGAAGGGCCCGCTTGGTTGCCATCCATGAGGGCAAATTTTACAAGACTAAACAAGGAATTTCTTTGGGTCCTGGTTGCTTTGTGAAGGGCTTGGAGTTTAGTTCTGGAGTGAAAAGCGTTTGCATTGGAAAACCCAACGAATATTTCTTCAGATCAGCCTTGCCGAACGGCTTGAATCCTGAGGAGTGCGTTATGATTGGTGATGTAAGTAGAATGTTTGTATGGAAAAGGGGTATTTCAATATTGAGTGTTCAATTTGTGCAGGACCCAAACGACGACTGTCTTGGAGCCATGGCAATCGGAATGAAGGGATATCTGGTGGAAACGGGAAAGTATCAACCGGAGTTATACGAACAGAATTCTCTTCCGAAAGTTAGCGGTATCTTCAAGAATTTCAGTGCCGTCGTTGATCAAATTGGCGAAATGGTTAGCAAATAAATAGAACACCCAGAAGGAGATTCTTTCAAACTCTAACAAACCTAGCCTCTGAGTTACGAGTAGATTAAAGATATATTCTACAGATCATAGTTGGAACTTTTTTAAAGATAAATGTAAAACCCCGTCCGACACATACGGAGAGGAGCCGAAAATACACATAAAATAAAACATGAAACATACCCAACTTTACTGTAAGTAACCTTTACGTGTAAACAGCATTCTCCTTTACGTCTTCTTGATCTGCTTCACCGGAATGGTTCGTTTCTGCGGGGTCCACTTGAGATACGCCGAATCTATCATAAGTTTCGGCTTCTTGAACTGTGGCAACTGCAAATGTTCTTGGACTGCCTTGCCCGTAACGCAAATCACGTGTTGTCCCTTCCAGTATTTGACCATCTTCATAGACTGCAGTGTGTAGATGATGTCATCCTGTGTGATTCCGGACAGCTCGCTAAGCTCTTTAATTGTCGTGGTGCGATAATCCTTCATCAGCTCTAGCAAAGTGTATGCCCAAAAGCTTCGATAACTCAATCGGCCCAAGTCGGAGAGTGGCTTCTCTGGACTACCAACGATGCCTTCACGGCGCGAGAGTTCATAACTGAAAGCAATCAACAGCTTCCCGTACCCTTTGCGCTGATACGGCGGAAGAATTAAAATACATGCTACGTTGTTTCCCTCTGGGGATTCCTTCTCCTTGGAAAAATATCCTACAATATGCTGGCCGTCCTTGTCAATCTCACACAGCACGTAGAAGAAGAACGGATCAACGTCATAATACAGAGTTTTGTGATCCAGGAACAGTTTGGCCATTAGGCAGAGAGTCTGACAATAGAAGCGGTGATCCTTTCCGTCGATTTCGAAAATGGAAACTGTTCCTTTGCGATAAATTTCGTTACCTGGCGGTTGACGTCTAGTACAAGTTGATTTGTGATGCTGCAGCGTTTTCGACAAGCGCATATATCTCAGACAATATTCACAAACGTATAACGTTCCTACTTTGCCGTACTCCTCTGGGTAGGGCGAAAAGTACCAGGTATCAATCTCAAACTTTCCGAACCGCAACTTGTCGATGTACTTCACCTTGGTGATTGCCTCATGCTCTTTTTCCAGAGCCGCTGTCGTGGGATCCATATCTGCGTATGTTTTCTGCACATGATTAATTTCATCGTGACGTCTTTTCTGATTTCGAGTTATCTTTCTATCCGGATCACCGTCTGTCATATCAACATCGCCACTTGGCTTTCCAACTTTGGGCGAATCCTTCACATTTCCAGCGGTACTTATTAAAGGACTTTTACCATTGTAATCTTGCACGAGGGGAGCACACAGTCCAACAGATTTCTTATCCGCTCCCGTCACAGCACTGGAAATACGATCTCTGCTGACCCACTGATCCAACCTCCGGTTCAACCCCTCATAGTGAATGTAATACTCCAGCTGTTTCGGATCGCATGGATTCTGGCGGCTTTGGATCAATTGAGCCGAATGCCAGGAGCCGTCCTGCCGCTGAACCATGTATTCTGCTCCGATTACCAATTTGTCTTCGCCATCCTCACTTTTTCCACACTAAGAAAAAAAAAAACATATTTCATAAACGGAAAATAGCATCAAAACAATCGCTGTTTACCTCCACAGAAGCCGAAGACGCCTCCTTCGCATTCGAGGATGATGACGACGACGAAGAGGAAGACGACGCCGATCCGGCTTTCAGACTTTGCTTGATCGGATCGCTTTCGGCATCTTTTTCCAATTGTTCACTCACTTTTGTGGTCTTGGAAGCGACCATTTCCGTCGATTTCATTCGGATTCGAAGTAGCTGGACCAAGATTTCACAACTTTTTCTTACTTTTCAAGCACTCCGGTAATAATGGACGATTTTGCGTGTTTGTTTGCGAGGTTAGTATTCTTCTTTTTTGGCTGTTCTCATGAAATTGACAGTAGAGCTGCCAGAAATTAGTCGACATTCACACTCGTTTAGTTTTAAATAGATCTGTGCCAAGCGACAAATAAGCTGGACTGCTTCGTGATTAGGGCGTACTTTATATAGTCGCTATATTAATAGTCTGGTGGATAATCTCGGGAACCAATTAAGCTGTCAAATAGCAAGCAAATCACGATCAACACCAGAAAAGAGCACATCAGCTTTGCGAACAAAACTTCGGAAACCCTTTTCTATTGACTCGCCTATGCAAACCAACACCATCATCGGGTTGGGGAAAGTTTCCACTCTCCGATGATGGTGTTAATTTGCGTTGGGTTGGCGAGGATAGAACTTTCATAAATGGGTTATATTTTTACTCATGTAATGGGTAGTCCCAGTCTCCCTCGAAAATGCTTACTGTGTAGTCAAAAGCCCTACAGTAAAAGTATGTACGACTGTCACCACAAAACTGAAAAAAAATCTGTTCCAATCGAGCAAAGCGGTGCATTTTGACGGTTCGATTGGAACAACTTTTGACAGACGTCCATACTTTTACTGTAGGGCTTTAGTCAATATAGAGTCTTTTATAGTCATTATTGGGTATTTTGCGATTACCGTGTAGGGCGCTGTATTCGCACAATGATGCGCTGTAATCGCTGTAATGCGCACTACGTCCGACGTTATGTTTAACGTACAGAACGAGAGTAAGCTGTGGGGTTTTCAGGTGTCCAACTTGACCTTCAATATTAAAATTAAACTAAAACATGCAGAATCGTACCTAACTAATAACCCAGGATTCAACCCAGTGTACCTTAACCATGGACTACCTGTGATTGACTCGGTTGAGTTTAAACATAAAGTAAATTAAACATGCTTAGCTAGTATTCCAGAATAAGTCATCAATCCGATTACTAGTCATTATCTACACACTTAATTTGTATTGCCGAGATTTCTACAGTCGACCAGTTCTGCACATTGTTTTGCCGAGGCTCAGTCTCCACGGTGTATCTGGAAGAAAAACTTATTAATAAAAAAAATCAGTATCAGAGGTTGCAACAGTACATTTTTTGCAAAACCATTGTCTAGAGCAAAATAAAACAGCCAGTACACGGGCGGTCGTATATTTCTACATTACAAGCAAACGGCGGAGATAGAGAATTGTAAAAATGTCGTAGCCCATTATTTTTCAAACAGTTTTTTGAAATTACATTTTAGCTGCAAGCTTGCGTATGACAGTTAATTATTAACTCCCTTATTTACGCATTATTTTAAACATCTAAGCTTATGAGTGGTAAGTATTCGTTCTTATTTTATATTCTCATGCAATAAACATCAAATAAATGCCAGAAATCAGCAAAATTCTAAATGACATAAATTTATGTCGCGCCGCTGGTCTTGTACGCAAATGTTCTGTCGTCTGCAGAAAACAGTTTAGAAATGTCAAGACATTTTTTCCGCTTGCCAGTTTGTGTTTGTGCGTCTTCTCTATGCTATACGTTATACACATAACTGTCCCATGTTATATGCAATCTATCATCTGCTTATTATTATCATATTTGAATTCACATGTCTGTAATGGTACAAATCTCAGATACATATTTATTAACCGATGTCTTGTGAAAAAAAGGCAATTTCAGTGCATTGCCTCGGCAAGATTAGATACCGTGTCCTACTGTTTCAATGATATTCTCATGATCGTACGTTCATTTTTGTTTCGCTATCAACCAATAATGTAATCTTTATCATTTATGCTGATTTTGTTATTGGTTTGCTACCTATAATTATTACTTTCCGATAACGACCTTCTATATAAAGACCAAAACGTTCGAAAATCATCTGTTTTGTCCATTGGGCTCCGTGTAAAAACTTAGAGAGCTGTCTTAGAATGACATTTTGTCGGGCCACCTGGGCCTTAGCGATCCTGTTGGCAGTGGCCAACGTACAAGGTCAGCATAACCCACACTTCTGGAATAGACACAGTGGTATCGTGCATCTCTTTGAGTGGAAGTTCTCCGATATTGCACAGGAATGTGAGAGATTTTTAGGACCACGTGGTTATGGTGGTATTCAGGTAAAACTAACATTTTCTGGAATTTTTTAATTTATTGAATTGATTTTGTAATTTTTCAGTTATCACCAGTCAACGAGAATGTCATCGTTCAACTTGGAAATAATCGTCCTTGGTGGGAACGATACCAACCAATTTCGTTCAAAGTAGCGACGCGTTCAGGCAACGAGCAGGACTTCCTAGATATGTCGCGCCGATGCAATGCAGTTGGAGTACGTTTATATGTGGACATTATAATCAATCATATGGCTGCGCATCCGGATGATGGAAGTGTAGGAACCGGTACTGCTGGCTCTACTGCAACTCCGCGTGATCGTGATTACCCAGCTGTTCCGTTCACCATACTCGATTTCAATCCATCGTGCTCAATTACTGATTGGGGTGACGCTTGGCAGATAAGAAACTGTGAACTTTTGGGATTACCAGATTTGGATCAAAGCAGAGATTGGGTTCGTGATAGGATCGTTGACTTCTTGGACCATCTGATTGAGCTTGGAGTGGCTGGTTTCCGAGTTGATGCCGCCAAGCATATGTATCCTCAAGATATGGAAGTCATCTTTAACAGACTAAACAATCTGAACACTAACTTTGGCTTTGCTCCTGGATCGCGTGCTTTCTTGATGCAAGAGGTTATCGATGGTGGTCCACATGAGGCCGTTGGAAAATGGGAATACAATCATCTAGGCACAGTAACGGAGTTCCAATATTCGTCCTACATTTCACGGGCATTTAGCGGTAATGATCTACTCGTGTGGTTGCAAAACTTTGGAGAAGAGTGGGGCTTTCTGCCATCGCAGGATTCACTCGTCTTTGTGGATAATCATGATAACCAACGTGATCATGGCGGAATTTTGACCCATACAGTGCCCAAACCCTACAAGATGGCTACGGCCTTCGCTGCTGCCCATCCATTCGGTCAACTACGTCTCATGAGTTCGTTCTTCTTCGCCAATAAGGACCAAGGACCACCACAGGATACCAATGGTAACATTATTTCTCCATCGATCAATGCGGACGGTTCCTGTGGCAACGGGTGGGTCTGTGAACACCGATGGCGTCAGATTGCGAACATGATCAACTTTAGAAACGTATGTTGGGGAACTCCAGTGGCAAACTGGTGGTCTAATGGTGCGAACAAAATTGCCTTCTCTCGTGGTAATTGTGGTTTTGTGGCCTTCAATAATGAGAGTCAGCAAGATATGCTTGAAGTTCTTCAAACTGGTCTACCTGCTGGAATTTACTGTGATGTCATCTCTGGTGAAAAAGTTGAACACTCGTGTACGGGTAACTCTGTTACGGTTCTTCCTGATGGGCGTGCATCTATTCACATTTCCCACGATGCTTACGATGGTGTTGTGGCTTTCCATATTGAGGTGAGTGTAGATAGGAAAACTGGTTTGTTTCTATAACCCTTTACATTAATTTGCATATCTTCCACAGTCTCGTCTTTAAACCAACGCCCAACTCAATTCGTCATAGATATCACAATTGTATTGGAACCACAAGTCGGTGCACAATTTGGAGCAAAATAGTATGCTGAATACTACCAATCGACTCTGTTTTCGTCTAAATAAATAATTTCAATTAATTGATTTCATTGCAATATCTATTGAAACCTTTTGAATCCAATTTACCTTTTCACCAATCCAAGAAAACATTCTCCAAATACGTCCATTGAACAAGGGACACTCCCGCAAACCGCTAAAGGCCCGTTCTGAAGTCTTCGACTCAAGCTCTGCGGCAGGCAATTATCTGATCGTTTCGTATCGAACATCTTGGCAAGATTGCATCTCCGCATACACATTTCGACCAAAGAGCACGGTGTGTGGGTGGATTTTCGACGGTCAAGGATGGTCGTCAACTCGATGGGAAATATTAGATTGTGGGGAATTGCGTCACAGCTTACGCGTTGATAAAAGTATGCCTTCGAAATCCTATGTGGGGGGTTTGATAAGCTATCATTTCAAAGTACCTAATCTATTAAACACACAATTACTTTCTTGGCTTAATGGCAGTAAATAGGTCGTAGCTTGGTTGCATGAACTTCTCTAAAACCATGGGATAATGCGTCAGCGTGTAGTTATTGAACACTTTCACGCCTTCCAGAGTAGTTGTGTTCAAGATGAAGGGAAGCAGTACCAGGTTACATCTTTCGGCTGATATAAACATCAGTTGAGGCATTGCGAAGAGTTTAGTCGGTATGCGGCATAACAAATAGTTGTCATCCAAAATCAAATCTTTGAGCTTGGTACAGTTGGCCAACTCGGTAGGAACTTCAGTAAGTCTATTTTTGGACAAATCCAGAACTTCCAAGTTTTCCAGGGTGCCTATTTCTGTAATCAAACTCGAATCATATGATTGCAAATATTTTGTCATCACTTCCCTACCTTTTGGCATCCTGGTGAGCTTGTTTTCACCCAACTTTAAGCAGCACAAGTTACGTAATTTTCCTATAGTTTTCGGTAGAGCTTCAACCAAATTTTGTGACAAGTTAAGCGATTCCAAATTTTGCAACAAGGATATTTGTTCCGGTACTTCAGTGATCATATTGCCCGCGAGGCAGACGAATTTCAACCGAGTCATTTCCTCGCAGAACCACGCAGGGACTGACGGAATAAAATTTTCCTTCAAGTACACTTCCACGACTTGGTCACTGCACGTTCGCAGTTCTTCGGGCATTTGGCGAAAATCACGGTAGCTCCAGTGCAGCACTCCACAATTCATGATTCGAAGTCTTTCGTTCAATCACCTGTACGTTCAATGATCTGGTACAATGCATCCAAACACCACAACTATGATCACGATCCAAGCTACTGGTGCAAAGTCTAGCAAAATTTTCGGTCTCAATTTGGCACATACCCCTTGCGGTGGTGTTCGTAAGATGCGCGCGCGCGCTCTTTCGCCTAGAGTCGACTGCTTTCAATGTAGTTCAAGAACGAATCACACGAAGTAAGGCGGGAAAGGTTAGCCGTTATGGATGGTTGTTTAGTATCATACAACTTTTTCTCCTAGTCAAACAGCAGTTTCATATTTTTAGAAAGAAGAAACCCCTCTTACCTCACAGTGAAACCTATAAGTAGTTACATGATCAGGATGAATGAAAGTATTTTTGAACGACGTTTTGCGAGAGAATTTTGCACGGGATGTGTGCGATCATCTGATGTTGCCACTGTTTTCAAAGCTTTATTCACGTGAGTAAATTTACAACCCACAACATTTGTAGATCACGATGCTGGCGCCAATAGGACACATTTCAAGGTCAAAGCCAAGGATTCCGTTTTGGATTGAGTGATATTAAAGTTGATAATCGTTGCTTGATGCTGCTTAAGTATGAATCTGGAGATCATCTGTATATAATTGTACCTGGCCCAATATTTTAAAGGTTAATGTAATTCTTGTTTTATTTTATTTCTTCAATGCAACTTAACCATGTTTTAAAGTATTTAAATTAAAGTAGAAAACTCATATGCATAGAGTTGGATCAATGTATTTATTCGTATTCAGTGCACCGAGACCATTTGATTAACATGCCTTGCGTACTAACAATTTCCACAATTACAACACACTTTTAAGGGGTGTGCATCTCTGTTTAGTAAGTGCCGAACTGAACTAACAAGGCCTCTTATCCTCACTAGTTGTTAGGACGTGACCAAGAGATCTCGATCGTTGTAGGTTGCATCACTTGTTCACTTCCAACCAATGACTGTTAATCGATAACCGTCGATAACGTCAGCCTTAACGTCTGCAATGGTGAATTTTCGCAGACGTTATCGACGGTTATTGATTAACAACCCTGGATTAAACCCTAGTGATTCTAACTATGAAGTAGCGGATACACGTCTGCATCACTCGTACAATAATCTGGGATTTATACCACCTACAAATTTGTGCAACTGGTTAAGGTGAACCACTATGGAAGCCTTATTTCTGGTTAAGGTGAACCACTATGGAAGCCTTATTTCTGGTTAATCTCATTTACACCAAGATGTGTGCTTTAGAAAATATGAAGTGATAGGCGAGGGGGACGACTCTATCTACGATGCAGAAAAGATTGTGTTTTGCTGTGGCTAGCTGCACGCACGCTGAGTAGATAGAAAGAACATTTATGTCGATTTTGAAGATTTCCTGCAAAAAGATGAAGCACGATGCAAGTAGATGCGAGAAATTAAAGATGATTTTTCGAAGATTGATTCGCTAGTGTGAGATTTTTTGAGCATCTAGAATTGAGATTTAGATGTGTCGCCCCCCTCGGTGATAGGGCATATCAGCCATCATGACGGCCATCTTTGTACTCCTTAAATAATCACCCTCATGCTAGTTCTATTCGTAAACTTGTATGACAAGACAAGATGTCAGTTAGTTCACATTGTAAACAATAGCATCATGTTTTAGAAAATGTCACCCGAACTAAGCTCGTGGTTAGTTATCAAATGGTACCAAGTGTTATGAGCGTTCCTAGAAAAAATTAAAACTGTACTCTGTAAAAGTTTTGGCAAATTTATGGCGATCGAAAAAAATTAATCGATTTGCTTCTTTTGAACCTCATCGATTTCTTGAGTCATTTATACAAAGGAATTTATGATTATTGACCTTCTGGTATAATGATGTGCGAATTGCTCGAAGATTGAGTATAATAGTTGTTCTAGATCCAGTAGGGCCAGAACACATAAATCACCGTAAAATGAGTAATATGGAAAATAAATAGAGAATGTCTAAAACCATTAACCGTATCTGAATTTCCACATCTACAGACTGTAGTAGATTTGGGCGATGAAAATAAAATAATGATTTAATTATTCAAAATAATATAATATTTCTCAGGGTCTCTATTAACAAACCGCTCTATAACGAACACACTGTTTTGATGCTGTCAGTATAATAACGATACCCCTTACAGGACAAAGACTATCGATCGTATAATTGAAGGGAAATGGAAAAGAGCTCGGGTATGGTTATCAGTCCTGAACATACTCATTACAGCTAAAATACTACTTTTCGAAATTATGAAACTATGAGATATTATAATAGTAATTTGTATATATGAGATGCAAAAAGAGGGGGTAAATTTTGTGTATGACACATAAATCTTCTCAACCGTCAAAATTCACCGCTTTGCTCGATTGGAACAGCTTTTTTCAGTTTTGTGGTGACAGTCGTCCATACTTTAACTAGAGGGCATTACCTTTTTCCGGTAAAGGCCTGTATAGAGATCGAAGCGAAGCGAAAATCTCATACAAAATACTACATTTTTCACCTGTGCGAAAAACGCAATTGGCAAATATTTCGCTTCGCTTTGAACTGTAAAGGCCTGTATAGAGATCGAAGCGAAGCGAAAATCTCATACAAAATACTACATTTTTCACCTGCGCGAAAAACGCAATTGGCAAATATTTCGCTTCGCTTTGAACTGTAAACAGATACGATCCAGCGAAATCTAATTTTGTGGATCACATCTTTTTCGCTTACGTTTATTTTTTTTTCGCGCATGCAGCGCTCGCGAAAAGAGCAGCAACTAAGCGAAAAGTTGACGTTTCTGGAGAGCGTATCTGTCAGATTTTCACTTCATCGGAGGTGTAAACTGATCGATTTCGTTTCACATGAACTGTAAACTGCGAAAAAAGGAAACTGGAAAATGTTCCACACACATTTTTTCACAACCTTTTTCGCTAGCGAAATTTCATGATTTTTCGCGTGCTTCAAATTTCGTTTCGCTTCGATCTGTATACTAGGCTTAAACAGATACGATCCAGCGAAATCTAATTTTGTGGATCGCATCTTTTTCGCTTACGTTTATTTTTTTTCGCGCATGCAGCGCTCGCGAAAAGAGCAGCAGCTAAGCGAAAAGTTGACGTTTCGGGAGAGCGTATCTGTCAGATTTTCACTTCACCGTAGGTGTAAACTGATCGATTTCATTTCACATGAACTGTAAACTGCGAAAAAAGGAAACTGGAAAATGTTCCACAAACATTTTTTCACAACCTTTTTCGCTAGCGAAATTTCATGATTTTTCGCGTGCTTCAATTTTCGTTTCGCTTCGATCTGTATACTAGGCTTAAGGGATAGCGTTTCTATACTGACAGTATGAAAACAGTGCGTTCGTTATAGAGTGGCTTGGTAATAGCAGACACTATTATTACATTATTTTGAATAATTATTTCATTATTTTATTTTCATCGCTCAAATCTACTACACAGACAATACTAAATTAAAAATGAGATAACGAACATTGTGGAATTTTTAAATAAGTTTAATTTACATGTATGTTCTAAACACGTCGAAAAACAATCAAGGGTGTTTGAAAGTGGTGCCGGTGGTGTAGTGGTAAGCGTGATTGCCTCTTACGCCAAAGGGCCTTTGTTCAATCCCAGTCTGGGCATAAAATCTCTGACCACGCCTTCCTTCGGGAAGTACAACCGTTGGTCCCCGGTCTATGAGTTGATGGATGGGTCGATTGGTGTGGGGAAGCTGCCTCCCTGGCGTCGGTAGCATTGGTACTCAGTATGGAAAACAAGATCGACGGAAAACAAATCAAGTAAAAAAAACAATCAAGCATTTTTATACTCATTTAGAAATTTCCAATTCTAAGAAAAATTGGCATTGCTGTCAGCCACAACATGCGATTAAAGCTGCGGTTGTCAAAAAATATGACGTAGGATAATATCTATTAATCATATTGTCGAGCAGTATTGGGGCGACCTTCTACCAGCGATTTTAAGAAAATGCAAGAAACTTACGATAAGACCCTATTTCCTCAAAGTTCTAGAAGAAAAAATATCATAATATGCCTAGTTTGAGATCAACAGTTTTTACACATTGAGGATGATTGGTAGTCCCAAGCATCGTCTATTGGTTCTCTGTGTAATTACAGCTGATCTGGTAATAACAGAGTAGCAACCGTGGGCGGTCAATCATGCTCATGGTCATTACAGAACATGAAGATAGGTGGTAGTCACAATTCATGTTTTAGGAAACATTCTTTCACAAAAACAAAAAAACATGAAGAGACAAGTTCATGATTCTTAATTTCGGTTTATTTCATTATATTTAAGTTCAAATAATGCAAAACGAACGAATACAAACAGAAAACGAGAACTTAAGCAGACTTATGACGTATGTTTAGGATGTGTTATTTTTCAGTAGGATGCTTTCATATTTGTTTTATTTTTGCGCGGTTTTTCTTTTTTCATAACAAATGATTTAGGTGCATAAGGCATTACATAATAATACAGCGTTTTTGCTTATGATTAGAATGGCCACCTCCATTCGCCAGACAGTGGCCATTCGCAGTCTGCTTAGCAAGCTGGTCTTTCTTGGGTTCTGTCTTTTGCTGTCCATCGAGACCGTTGACTTCCTGGTTTTTCGCCTGTACATCGCTCATATAGTCGCTGTCCACGCTATCTTCGGCTTCATCACAACTGCTGCTGCTGTAGGTATCCGAAGATAAAACGAGGGAATCGTCAAAGTTCAGGAAATTGAATTGATGAATTCGGTGCAGTAGGATCGGATCTTCCGGGAGTACAAACAATTCTTCCAAGCGTTTATTGCTCAACGTTTCCGAGAGCCACTTTGTAACGGCTTCGGTCAGTTGTATTTCTTGACTGCCGAAGGAACTTGTTGACGATTTGCGTTCTTTGCTATCACTGCTGGAGCTTGTGAACGCTGCTGGGCTCTGAACACCAGAATCAAAATTTTCAAAATATTCATCATTGGAGAAATGCTTACATTTTTGCTGATCATCATCATCTTCATGCTCATATTGCACCGTCTTGTCTGGCGATGAAAGTTCAGTGGGATTAAATGGAAGGTTGCAATTTTCCGTCAATTTATTTTCTATTATATCCATATCTTCTGCACATGCTTGGATGCACGTCGCTGTCAAACTTGATAGTTTAGATTCTTCAATCAACTCTGAAGGCACCTCATGCGGTTCATCTTTCTTAGTCGTATCAATGTGTTCCGGATTATTTTGACTTATTACTTGCACGATTGAATCATCCGGAATATTCAGGGTTTCACATTGTTTGCCAATGGCATCGATCACTTTTTCTTGTTGATTTGCAACATGATCAACAGTCTCGATTTGTAAATCAGAAAATTGAATATCTCTCAAATCTTCCTCAAGACATTCTACATCGTAATCCTCATCGTTTTCTAAATTCAGCGCACAACCAGCTGTAACTTGTTCATTTGAGATTGATGAGAGCACCCCTTCTTGCTCAGCTTCTATGATTTCATGTTCGCTGTCACCAACATCTTCTTTAACCGCATTTTCGTTTGGTGGTACAGCTTCATCAGCAGCATCCGTTGACTCTACAAGCTCACTCTCGTTGGATATCTCGGAAACAGGGAACTCTGGTTCGATCAGTTCGAAGCCTTTCTGTGAAAGGCCAATTTTCTTCGACTTCTTCCCTTTTCCTTTTGCAGTCTTTTTCCCCTTTCTCCCAATAGTTTCTTTTTTAGGACGTTTAGTTTCCTCTGAAACTGCAGTCGTAGAATCACAACTAGCCACTGATGGCTCTTGCTTACATTCATCATAGAACAATTTAACATTTGAAGGCGATTCCAAAACCACGTTGGATAGATTCTTAGTGCCGACAGAACGCAGTTCTCGGTCTTCTTCTATTGTAACCTCTTTTCCATTGCGAACAGTACGCCATTCACTCGACTCACTTTGCTGAACGTCCGGAGGCCTCAGTAAGCTTGCGGGTCTCGTAAGATCTATGTTTTGCTCGGCGAAGGCACGAGTAGATTCGATTAGATCCTTCTTACGATTTTTCTGAGCGTGAGATCTCTGCCTACCTGGTGCTTTGGAAACCGTATTTAGATGCTGAGATCGTTCTGCGAGTTTAGGTGCATTTAGTGATTTTGACGGACGTAGCGAAGCGGAATTGATGTCTGATTGTTGACTAGAAGGAAGCTCGTTGGTAGAATTATGGCCGGCGATGTCAGTATTCTCTGCGGTCGTCGATGGCTGCGTCGGAACTGCCTGATCAGTTGAGGTGGGGTTGGAAATAATACCATCGACAGGCACTTCAGTGGAATCGGTTACTTCAGTTTCCGGGATACATAAGACATTAGGATACTGATACATCTGGTGGGGGAGAATTGAATTACTTGATTAACTGAATTGATTAAATAAAAAAAAAAGACTCACTGTGTCAATCGTTCCATCTGGGAAGAACTCAGCTGGATACTAGAAGGAGTAATATAAATGTTAGCATTGTCGTAAATGTATACTGCTATTAATAAATTTTGTTTGATAAGTTAAGTGTCGAATTCATTTAGATAAAAAAGGTGAGATTTTTATTGATGGACAGAATAATAAGCTTTTTCTACTACACATATTTATTGTTCTTAAGCGCTGTCCAGATTGAGCAGTTAAAACATGTTATAACAGATTGTCAAATAATAGCAACACAGAAACCACCATCAAGATAACGCTATAACATGTTATAACTCTTTAGTCTGAACGTACTATAACAAAAAGTATCAGATAAAAACCATTAAGAATAGGGAAAGTTGGGTAATTTCGCCAATGGGGCAACGTGGCCATTCGCTTAAAAATCAACTTATTGAACACATTTTACAAAAAAATCTGTAGCTGGCTTAATGATCTACTTGAACTATTCAATTAATTTTATGCTACGTTCAGACTACAGAGTTATAACATGTTATAGCGCTATCTTGATGGTGTTTTCTGTGTTGCAATTATTTGACAACCGTTATAACATGTTATAACTCTCCAGTCTGGACAGCGTTTTAGTCTAAAAAAATACTTTTCTCTAGTGTGAATATTCAAAAAATGTTAGACTAGCTCAAAATGTCAAAAATGTTATAAGATTTCTGAATCAGAAAATAAGGTCTATCAGTAGTTTCTTATAACTTTTCGTTAATATTCCTTCAGCAGCTCTATAAATGGTTTCTTATATGACACGATGTTTTTTTTTTCTAGTTTTCAATAAACATTAAAGTTGTCATAATAAAATATTATTTAAGTTCATATTTTCTACTTAGATTCCTCAATTTTGTAGTATTCCTTTTATGACTGTATCATATGAAATCACGTTTTTATTAGCTACTTTGGTAAAAAATCAATCATTTACAACCTTAGAAATTATAGCCTTAAATAGGCAGTACTTCTGGTATTTAATTTATTCTACAGAAAATATTTGTTTGTATGCTAAAACTGTTCATTGTTGATCCTTCATACAGCCTCAAAAGAACAGAATATTTTTACCACTTGCTTACAAAGGTGCTCATACCACCATTTCGGTTAAAAAACGAACATGGTTTAAATCTTCTTTCATAAGATTCCATAGATTACTTTTAATATTCGATTTATGTTCATAATGTAAATAGTGGTTGAAACTATCCATTTGGTTAAAAATCATTCGAATTTTTCACTGAATTTGGATTCATTAGCGATGAAGGTGGAAAAAATGTGACCATTGGCTAGTTCGTATTGGTTTATTGGTATTGGTTTGGCAGTATACGTGTGATAATTATTGACATCGTCGAAAATGCTTGATTACAATATCAAATGGGTCATTGAAGGAACAGTCCACAAGCATACCCTGGAAAAATTACCTAGAACCGATACAATAATGATCAAAATCATTAACCTTCATTAGCCAGCACAAGAACGTGTCTTCGAAACTATCGACGTTCATTTTCAAACAAACGCAAAAAAAAACAAACACAGATCAATTACATTGAACGACTAGTTTACCTCATCCCAGTTTCTGTATCGTTTCTTCCGTTTCCTGAAGCTCTGTTGCCTTGCGTGTTCCTCTTCACTCATTCCGCCAAATTGATCGCAGTACATTTCTAAAACATTGAACATACATTTGTTTTATTTTTCTATCATTGGAATCCTCCTGACTATTTCCCTTACCATTTCCCACCACCGGGAATGGAGCCACCATACAGCCAGGATAGTAGAAAGCATTATAAAATTGAGCATAATCGAAGCTGTTTGCAAAAGGTGACAGTATCGGTTGCTGTGGCACTTGTTGATTCAGATCTGCTATGTCTACTTCACCGTTCACCACATCCTGACCATTTTCCTCCGAAATACTGTTGAGCCGTGTTTGATTCAGCAAACAAACTTCGGCGTTCTCTTGCAAAGTAACAGGTACAGCTTCTACCACCTCGACATCATCGAATGTATCATTTGATTGATTCTTGTCGTCGTCCGATGCAGCAAGTTCTCCTCCATCCACGTCCTCATTGAACGAAGACTGGCAGTGATAATTTGTAGGATATATGTAAGTCTGACCGCCGTTCATGTAGGGGAATCCGCTATTATCAACAGCAAAGCCTACAACAAGGAAGAAATTTTGTAATTTGAACACATTTAAATATTGTTATCTAGCTATCTTTGACTGCTGTGGGTTTCATCGTCAAAGGTGCGGTCAAATACTTTCTTGTGTGAAGGGAAAAAAAAATCTTCCGTTTCTTATCTATAATGTTTATTCATTCTTCAAGCACAACACGTGTTTGCCATCACCAGTCAGTAGCACTTACCATTCATGACAAGAACTCCGCTCTGATCTATGTAGCCAAAGTATGGCAAAGGTGCGGGATAATCCAGCAAGTGGCCATCGGTTAGATACGCTGAATCGGATGTGACCGATTCAGCGGTAGAAACCGAACCACTTGCGGTGGCGACATCACTTCCATCCGTTGTACCATTCACGGAGCTGCTTCCCGTTGCGGCTCCATTATCATTCCCATTCGTTGATGACGTTGTGTGCTTTTTCGGCCTGGATAAATAGCCCTTTTTAAACAGGACATCCTGTCGTGGAGTGGTAATTTTCGTATATTCGTCTACATAATACAAGAAGAAGCAAATTAATTGACTCTTGGACGAGGAAAGCATATCCAGAACAACATGTGAAAAGGGCATACAAGCTTTTTGTAAACAAACCTTCTTATGCCCTTTTCACGCCACCCATATGACACCAACGCAAACCTTTAACATCACCGGGTAGGGGACACTTTCCCCTTCTCGATGATATTGCTGGTTTGCGTGGGCGACCCTCGGTTGGTGAGAAAAAGGCCTACAAAGGTTTGTTTACAAAAAGCTTGTATGCCCTTTTCACATGTTGTTCTGGATATAACCTTTATACCTTCGTTAATGATCACAGCGCCATTTTGCTCGTTTTTGACTTCGGCAGTATATTGATCGTTGGAGTTATTCCTATAACTGCCGTTGCCATTATAGCTATTGTAATGAGGTTTCCTACTGCTACCATTATGATAATAACTATTTCTATTGTAATGACTTTTAAACTGAGACGAGTAGTTTCTTGAAGGATGGCTATGATAGCCATTCGAGTATGGTTGACCGATGCTTCCCTCTGTGGTTTGCTGCCGGGCATAACCGTTGGTATTATTCCATGATGATCTCCGATCGGATGAGTGCAAAGTGGAAACATCTTTAGAATCAATATTTTCTGGACACGAAGCCTTATCTACGTTTACCCCATTAACATCCTCGAGGATTGCTTTTTTGGTCCCTCGAGATAATTTGGAAGCTGCAAAATGATATAAATAGAATTAACATTAATTTTAGAACTAACAGCTATGTGATATATCTTTGAAATTGTTTCGTAATCTTCACTCTTCTCCGTTTAGAATTGATTGGCATGATGATTATTACGTTGTTTTCATTTTATAATCGCAATAATTACGCATTCTCAAGAGTATTTTGAACATTTTAGCAGAAGGCAATAAGCCGATTCGATTGTTTTTATTTAATAATATTCCTATATTTATTACAGTAACCCCTCCATATAACATCCATCCACCGCTGTTTCTCGGCTGTCCTTCAAGCAATTCAGCCGATTTTCTGTTGATAACTAGCTGGTTGAAAATAATGACATATATAACAAAATCAGCGAAATTGATGGATTGATTTATCTTTATTTAGGAGGCTTTCAGCCTGAGGCTGGTTCGCCTCCAAAACTCAGCGAAATTGGTTGAAGGGCATCTGAGAAACAGCGGTGGGTGGATGTATAGGTATATGGAGGGGTTACTTTACTGTGTGAGCATCTTATGAATGACTCTGTGAACATGAGGACGACTCGATTGGAGAATTCAGGTTGAACTCCATTTCTATTTTTGGGAAACAGGAGCAATATTTTAACAGATTTCCCAAATTAATCAATAATTTTTGGTTTCTAAATTTATGATTTAATTTCTATGGGGAAAACAGGGATCTTAAATAAAATAACAGTAGAATCAGTGGCGTAGTAAAGATTTCTGTCTAAGTAGGGGGGCATGTAAAGGTAGGCCTGCTAAATCTGCATTATTACTGAAAATAAAGTACGCGAAAAATATGATATGCATGCTGATGGAAACCTGTTTGGAGAGGTTCAAAAGAACTTTCAGCGAACTTATAGAGAAAAAAACATCCGGGTAAGTTTGGAAGAAACATCCGGGGGAAGCTGACAGAATCTGTCGGAAATCAACATCCAGAAAAAGTAACCCCAAGCTGCTGCCGCTCACTTCGCTATAAAAAATGTTTTTCGGAATTATGAAATCATTAGATGTTATGATATGTTGTGCTTGTAAGTTACATAATGAGGTTGTAAGGTTTGTGTTTGACACATGGAATCTGTCAATGTTGCTTTCAGAAATTCAATAAGCGAAATCTTGTAACTCTCTGAAAGCAAAATTGACAGTGTTATGATGATTTACCTTTCCGTACGTACCGTCAGATTTGATAAAGAGAAACAAATTGTTGAGATTTTGTTAAAAATATAACACTGCTTCTTGACCCCAAATTCGGCCTATGGATTCTAAATTAGGCCTAATGCATTGTCTACCACAGTCGCTTTATTTATAGTATGGTGGTACCAATTCAATATGTTGTAGACCAACAATTGAAAAGTTATATCATTTTTTTTTTTAAACAAAACGTTGGTTGTTCTTTCTTCGCCAATCGAACGCAAATTACCTGCATCATCGGATAAGAGAAACTTTCCCCAACCCAAAGATGGTGTTAGTTTGCGTAGGCGAGCATTGAGTCACGAGTAAACGGTTTCCGGAGTTTTGTTCGCAATAGCTGATGTGCTCTTTTCTGTTGTTGGTCGTGATTTGCTCGATTGGTTCCGCTATATGAAAGCTCAATTGGCTACCGCGATTCTATCTGCCAGACTATAAATATAGCGACTATAATTGAAACGCCATTGAATTCACTTCGGCCTATTGGATGAAGACAAAAATTGATGAGAAAAATGGATGTAAACATACATATCACTCGTTTTCATTGACTTCGTTCGGTAGCTTTCGAACTAAACTATCGTATCAAACGCCTAATTGTTTACTCTAAAACAATGGATTTATTTGATGTTTTCTTAGGCCCAAAATGGTAGTTCTCGATGGGCCCAAAATGGGCGATTAGGCCGAAGTAGTGCTCTACCCTATATGAAAAAAAATGAATAAGGCTGTCCACAAGACAGTTGCGATCAGCTGACTTTTTTGTTTACACGGCGAATGAGAACGACCCAAATTTGAGTTTAGTTCACTCATAACCGCCAAAAGTGCAGGAACTCAGCGATGAGTCAAATTTGGCTCATTGTTTCCTGTGGAAAACCTAACCAGTCTCGGAGTAGTACCAGTAGACTGAGTGAATCCAATCTTTACTTTTCTCAAATTCAGGAATTTTTCCCTGGAAAAACCTGGGAAAACATGAGAAACTCATCGCTGAGTTCCTGCACTTTTGGCGATTATGAGTGAACTAAACTCAAATGTGGGTCGTTCTCATTCGCCGTGTACCAAGAACTTTTGACAGATCACAGTAGAAATGGCAGTTTATTATCATATGAATTTCTGCTTTGTTTAGTTTACATTCAGCACCATTAACACCAGATCACTCACACACTCTAGATTTCTAGCTGTCAGTTCCACTGAGAAACGTCTCTTGGATCACCTTATTATGAATTATTAAATTTCAGGATATTATCGAAGACAACAAATCAAGAAGACTGGCAACTTTGCCAGAATCCAAGCGACAGATACAGTAGCGCTGCGCTTGAGTGAAGGTGGAAGCAACGCATAGAAAAATGAGCAAATACACAAACCCTTCGACTGAGGATGTAATCTTTGCTATCAAATTCGTTCGAAGCATTTACCTTTGAGCGGCAGATGACGCGATTTTACCTGTCTCATAGCGTTCGTATGAGAAAATGGAAGAGTTACTAGTATTCTTGATTTTTTGTCTTTGATATTTAGAGATGAACTAGCCTAAGGCTAAAAATCTCTTTAATAAAGTTTAAAAAAAAATGTCTTCGATATTATGCTAATTTTTATTTGTAATGTGCAATAATCAGTTTGCTTTCAGCAGTTGCCGGCAACGGTCGGCAGCAGCCAGCAGATTATCTCGATGTGTATCACGCGATCCTCTGTATACTCGATTTGATTGATTTTCAGCCACTGGCTGGTTCATATCCGTCTGTATACTCGAAAGTACACCCAACCGGAGGATGTAAGATTTACTTACAATTATGTGGGATTCATCATCGCAGGATGTTAGTGGATACCGCATGAACGGAGGATGAGATATACCGAGCTGCGCTCAAATGCAAGAAAAATTGGAGACCGAAAAATGTGGAATGTATTAGTGAATGCAATTAATTATGTCGAAAAAAATAGGTTGCCTGGACTAGAAACTTTAGAGAAACTAGCGGAGGAAATCGCTTAACACTTTCAGGGCAAGTCAGCTTGACTCCTGGAGGAATTCAGGAGGAGCTTCCAGGATAAATTGCAAGAATCTCTTTGTGGCAATCAGAAGAAACTTGTGGGGAAGCCTGAAAAAAAAAAAACTTACCGATGATGTCTGAAGCACTTCTGGAAGAAACCGAAAGAAACCTCCAGGAGAAGTGGGAATAATCTTCCGGTGGAAGTCGTAAGAGACATCCAAATATAACTGTCTAGTCCGTGGAAAAATAGAAGAAATTTTCGTGGAAAATTGGAAGAGCCTTACTGGAAAAATCATCTGAAGGTAGTCGGAAGCGAGGGGGGCGACTCTATCTACGATGAAGGAAAAATTGTTTTTTGCTGTGGTTAGCTGCGCGCACGCTGAGTAGATAGTAAGAAGATTTATGACGATTCTGAAGGTTTCTTGCAAAAAGATGATGCACGATGTAAGTAGATGCGAGACATGAAAGAAGATTTTTCGAAGATTGATTAGCTAGTGTGAGATTTGTTGAGCACCTAGAATTGAGATTTAGATGTGTCGTTCCCCTCGGTCGGAAGGCACCTTCAGAGAATGTAAGAAATAAACTTCCGGGCAAGTCTAAAAAATCATTCATATGAAATCGGATGAAACTTCCGGTGGTACCCAAAATAACATTTTAAATATATTTAAATGCTTTATCAATTTCGTTTTGAAAGCTTCAAACTGTATTGAAACACTATAACAATATTCGGTAACTTTTAAACATCTTCTTATACATGCAAACCTGGCGAACTTAGACAGCTAGTTTGGTCACCATAAACAGCTCTTAATCCCATATTCGTTGACGCTTCTACTGAGCTGATATTCAGCTGTTTAAACGGAGTATAAAGTTGAAAGGCGTTGATTCAACATAATCTAACGAAATAATCACTATACAGCTTTGTCGCAGGAGATGAGCTAGCCCTAAAAATCTCCTTAATAAAGATTTAAAAAAGCTTCGTCTCAAAGTAGAGTTAAATATTGTGTGTGTAGAACATTACGAGAAGTTTATCGAACTTATATAGTTCTGAGCGTTTGTTATCACCGGATTTAATTAAACACATAATTTACTTGCACCGGGACCTGGGGACTCGAACTTGTGACCACCGCAATGGAAAACCTCGACGACCAATTTTGCTAAACCAATACTTAAAACTGATCTAGAAATATCTACAAGTTGCTCTACAAGTAGATCGCTGAGTAGAGGCTTTATAGTAGTACATGTGCAACACTTTATCGACCATTATATTTATAGATTTATGTAAGATGTAGTGTAAAAGTTATAAAACCGCTGCAAAAATACACATCAGCTTATTAGGTAAGTACACGCTATTTAATAGTTGGAAATGCGCTTTCGTTTTCAATATTACTCAGTATGAGTTATTGGTTGTGTAGATGCCATGATATGAGCAATATACCCTTTTTATTAGCTTTTAATCGCAGCTATAACCAGTTACCTCTATGGCTATAAGTTGTATGTTGTTGTATGTGTATAGCGGTAGTGTAAACGTTTACTAGCTGCTGTTATTGAATTTGACTGACAAGCTGAATAATAGTGGTACAAATGCTGAACAGGTGCTACTCATACTATTTTGACTGCTTTTGTCTGTAGCTGAATTCACTGCTTTTATACAGCTGCTTTACAACACGAAACTGAGAAAAGTAAGCTTACATAGCTAAAAATGTTTGTTGGGTAGTTAAATGAAGCTTCTGAAGGTCAGAGATGAACCAGCCTCAGGCTGAAAATCTCTTTAATAAACGAAAAAAAAGCTTCTGAAGGATGCTAGAAAAGCCGGGGATTTGAAAGAAAAGACTTTCTCCCGGTACGGGGGGCGACCCCAGCGTAGTGGTTAGCATCCATACCTCTCATGCCAAAGTAACAAGGTCAAATCTCACCCCGGACAAGTCACGAGTGACTCAAGAGCATTAAAGTGACTATAATAAAAAAATACTACTATACACTGTACACACCAACTGCTCATTTGTTAATTACTTTTCACACAGTTGTTGACATTTGTTTTTCTTTAAAGTAATTGATAGATTAGGATCATAGTTTAGTATAGATATGCAAAGAATAGCTTAATCTTAACATTTAAATCAACACCAATGATTTTTTACACTCGAGGTGTGCAGCAAGCAAAACGCAAACAAAAATACAGTTTATTACTATTATAAAAATCTATTTTTTACGTATCTATAATAAGCTTAAAGTCTAGTCTATCGGTTGCTTCAAAAAGAACAATTGTTTGCTACGTAGTTGCTTAATGCTAAACGACAAATATCAGACTTAAAATGTTCACTTTATACGATAGATCAGAAGATGAAAGTATAGAAACCGGTGGAATCTAACGATTTTAAATTGGCTCACTACTTGACTAGCCTACTGGTCCCAGGTACATCTATAAGCGTAACCCATTCTAATCATAATTCTAGTACTACACTATGTTTGTTTTGATTCGCTATGAAAGTTTGACAAATAAAATGAGGGGTTCGTGGATTTTCCTATGTTTCGAGGGGTGCATCGATTAGCTTGGAACCGAAGATAGTACCAGAGCTGAGCCAAAAAGTCGAGCAAAGGTCAGTTTTGAGGAAGGCACGAATCGGATTAATCATCTCCTTTACCAAACTCCCCTGTTGGGGAGGGAGGGTAAGCACCTCCCCTACCCGTGTCTCCTTGGCTACGCCGAGGAGAACAAAATGTCCACTTTTCCTTATAGTAATTTTCATACAAATATGTGACATGAGATCGGAAACAAAATAGCTCAATTTGTTTAGGAGAATGGTTGCGTTGCATTGCGTTGCGTTTGTAACGGAGTAATTCGTAGGTTGCATACTGGCAACTGTCATGTATCTACTTTAACGTTCTTATTTTGATTGCTTTATGAAAACTATTTGGGAGTGAATAGTTCTCCAATCAAAGTTCAGAACAGGAAAAACATCTTCTCCTTTACAAGGAAAGGAGAGATATTGTTGATGTAAAATCTTCTAAAAGGGAGGCCAGCGACTCACCGACGCCCCCATAGATGCTACGGAGTAGGATAGTGGAGTATGAGATGGGTCAGGAGGATTCGCATAAGCAGGCAATGTGACCATTAAGACTGCACAAAATACGTATCGGTCATAGATACCAAAATTTATTAAGTGGAATTAAATGGATGATATCCTTTTTTGCTGTTTTATTTAAGCATTCCACTGACAACCCAATTTCATTACTTTATTTTTTTTCTAATCATTGAGTTAAACCAATGGATATTCCTATTTTGTTAAATTTCGTGATGAATAATTATATTTAATTTAATAAGTATGAAATAGCTCAAGACCATAGCTTTGTATAGTCAATAAAGGTAACCATACAGGAGATAGCGGGTTGAATTCTCGGCATGTACAAACAAAATGTATTAAAGAATTTTATCTTACTCGAATGTCGTGGGCATAAAGTATCATTGTGCTATCCACTAGTGTGCGCATCAGAGGTGGCAAACAGCTGTCATGCTGATGTCATTAGTAATTTTGTTTATTTAATAGCTGTTTTTGGGCCTTTGAAGAACCATAAATTGTTACACGTGGGTTTTACAAGTCTTATAGGAGCGAGTTTGCCATCCCTTGCTACACTGGCTCGAAGAACACAAGTTGATGACATGCAAAACGTTTGAATTCAGTTCAATAGCCATTAAAGAGAATGAAGTGGTATGGAACAGGACACTGGGGACGAATGACCCAAGAGTAACACTAACACAGTGGCTATAGTAATAAAAAAAGGAAAAGGTATTAGCTCTTGTAGTTACGTAATAAGATCTACGACCGCACCTAGGCTGTTTATTTTCAGGAACAAATCATTGTTTTACGCCTTGTTGATAATGAAACGATTCGAATCGCATCCACCGAGGATCTAGCGAATCCAATATTGATAGGCAAAAAGGCGTGCCATTGGAAGGTGATCCCACTCTTAAGAGCGTATAAATAGCGGTAAACCCTAGTAAGGGAGCACACATTAAGTACGTCACGCGAAATTTAGGAAAATCAACATCCCCTGTCATCACGTTTATCCTATACCTAACGCATTGCATTGTCACACATGTTTAAACCCTCTCCCCCTTAGTGCGTAACGTACTCAATGGATGCTCCCTAAGCTTACTATTAAAAGCGGTGACTTACGAGAATGGTAAGAATGACAACTGTTCCAAAACCGAATACTTCATCATTTTATCAATAGTAATGCAGTTATCGCAATATATCAATTAATGCTATCAATGGATTTATATCCCGAATAGAGGAAACCCAGATTGAAGAAGAAGAGAAGGTGCCCTACCTAAGGCCACTCAGCTATGTCTGGTGGGCTTGAGTCGTGTTGGTATAAGTTAAGAGATAAGAGAAAAGCATAAAAAATATAACCCTCGAATGGCGTCCGCTGATATTTACGCCGAAAACTGGAGCACTCTCGGGAGCACATCATTAGAGGGTCTATCATAACGAAGTGCATACACATAGAGAGAGATGCTTTTCACTTCTTACAGAAATAAGAGTCGAGGTATACTTATGCCTTGTTCAGACTAGCCTTGTAACATGTTATAACTGCGTAGTGCGAACATAGCATTAGAAGAAGCTCAAGCCATAGATAATTAGAAAAAAACATTCCATTGATTCTTTTTCCATGCACTTGGAAGAAGCTAATTTCTTCACCTTTTTTCCAGCATCGAGGAGGCTGTTTCTAGAAACAAGCCATGTGATTTGTTATTTCTGTACCAGCACACATGTGCTTTCTTCTCGTTCCCATGCTTCGCAATTTGATTGACATTCGTTCAACGGGAGAAGAGTATTTAAGAATTTGTAGCAGAATCGGCGTTTAAATTTAAATGTTCCTGTACTTACCGGCATCGTGTTCGGCTGGAGGAACGGTGGAGGTGGCACTAGCTAACGAAAGGGATACCCATTTCGTTTTCTTCCTAGCTCCCTTCGCCATTGAGTGCGATTGATGGATGGAACCTTTACTGATGCCGTTGCTACTACTAAATCACTTAGCTGCACAATCCCTCGACTTGTGACTGCGTTGCTACTTTGCAACAATTCTTCCACAGGATATCCACTAACTATGCGACGGTTTTTCTGTTACCCATTCAATTCAAGAAAAACATTTGCTCTAAATAGAAGAAGGATACCGCGTGACAGATTCCAAGGGCACGACCAACAAAAACACACTTCTTAGAGCCACTTAGTCTGTGTAACTATTTTTTTTCTCTAATGCACACACGTATGATTATTCAAGCTCGATGCTCAAATGTTTCCCTATTTAAAAAAAAGCTACACTCCCGTCGTCGTCGTTGCATAATCGTTGTCGCCACCGCCACTACCGTCGTCGCACGTATGTCTGTATGAGAACTCACGTGCCTCGTGATGCTTTTTTTTGACACGCTTTTCTATATCTAATCCTCACTTAACATGGCTAAGCACATTGCCAAAAATTTACCTTGTGGACAAATTTTAATGGTGAAAATTTTCCGCTCACTTCCACAATCGGTGTGAGTAGTTTTCTTCGTCGACCGGTAAAGCTTGACGAGAATATGCGTCAAATACCCCAGACGTTGGTATTTCGTTTCTTCCGAACCCTACTGTCCCCTTCCGATACGGCCACAGAAGGGTATTTTTGTTTCTTTTCTTCTTTACCCCAATCAGCTGTTATGTAATTCGGAAAATGCAATTGAACTTTTCCTACTTTCTCGCTCTCACTATGACTAGCTCGTTGGTATTGGGAAAAGGGAACTTTACCAGAACAATCTCTGATCGTTGTATGATGGTTATATGATAATCAATATAGGCAGGATGCTCTACTTTTAATGTCTTGCTATTGCTAAACAATCTCGAGTCGATAATTTACACTAGTTTTTTTAAGCACATTACACTCTGTACTCTTGATAATATTGATTGAGTACAATGATTAAATTCGCGAACTCTGTTCGTGCTTGAAGGGGTTGAATTCTATTGGGCGATGATTAATACAAAACAATTTTCTTCATCTACTGATAGTGTTATAGGTAGGCACAAGCACAAATACACTATTTCGGAGTTCCGGTCGGACGTTTAGACGATCGGTCGTTTTGTGCTTCTGGAAAATCGATACACGCTTCAGGAACACGGGGGCACCATTGGTTCTATCCTCTGGGAGCACACCATGGCCAGAAAACCGATTATACAACACCTTCCTCTGCCTTGCTACGACGAATTGGCCTTAGCGATAGCACTGACAATATCCTCTTGCTTTGCATGTTCGATACTAAAGTGCTATTTCAGTATTCAATCGCTCTTGGCTGTCTGTTTTTCCGTTTTTCCCACTCTCTCACAGTCTCCGTCGATTTTCTCGCTCTGCTACTCACACGCTCTCACTCACGTTTCCCGTGCGACGGGTTGTAGACAAAAACTCTTTTGGTTGACAAAAGACCGTTGAACCTCCTGTTATCTAACAAACTTCACAAGTAAAATCTGCTTACTTTACTTTGATGAAAACCTTTTGTAGAACTTATACAATACGACAGTACCTACATTACCTCACATTTCACCTAAGATTTTAAGCTGCTCTCATGTGCTAGTTAGAATTATACACAACATGCCGGTACCTAGAGGGATACTCTCACCGAAATGCATTCGCATACAAGCCTAATTGAATATACACACACGACGAATTGTTAGCCATTTGTGCTCGAATCAAACGACGGATTTGTAGGTAACCATTTCACCATAGCGGCCGCATGTGTTATCATCTGTACTAGACAGAACCGGGTTTGGTTTGTTGGTGATAATGCTCTCGATGTCTTTTTATTGCGAGAGAGCGAAACTGGGCGCGAGCGTGATCATTTTCTAAAACCTTCTTTAATGCTCATCGATATGGCGTACATATAGTAACATAGTAACTTCTCACAGGACACGGACTTATTGTGTAGATTCACTTGATGGCAAAACACGCCTCACCACACGGCTGTGATAGTGCGCTGTTTTCAAGGTCAAGGACACTTTATTTCGCAAAGAGGACACCACTGGCTAGGTTAAAGATTGTTTACACGGCCATTGCATCTGACTCATATTTGAATTCCGTTCACCTAAATTCGCAAAAACGTATAGATCACTCATAGAATAAGTAAAATTTTCATCGATTTTCCTCTAGAGCAAATTTTTGATGAAAAGCTAGGAAAATATTACTCAGTCTATGAGTTACCTACGTTTTTGCGGTTATGAGTAAAAAACCACTCAATTTTGAGTCGATGTTATCGGCTGTGCATAAAACGCTTATTACCAATCAAGAGCAAATTTTCATTACGTCGAATGTAACAAAGGTAAACAAAGTCGAGCTATCAGTGTCAATCGATTCTCCTGCTATTACACTATATACTGACCGAATATAGGATCAAATCCCATTTTTAAATTTATTTGCCAGCCAAATTGCTTTTTGACGTAATCACCTTCCGATCAAAATAGTTTTCGATGTTACTTAAGTCACCCAATTTCTATGGAGATGCCGTTTGACTTAAGTAACAGCGCTGAGAAACCCGTGAAAAGTGTACGTTCGTCGTTTCGCTTTCTCATTATTAAAGTGAATAAATCGCACTGTTTGTTGCTAAGATGATTTCGGTGGTCCTAAAATAATGAATGGGCTGCACGTAAGGAGACGTAATTGATAATTCTCCCGAATATCCTGGTAAATACACTTTGACTTAAGTAACAATAGGGGCCACCAAACGACGTATAATAACTTTTGACTCAAAAACCAGTATTTTTTAGCATGAAAGCTAGCGATTTGCATTTGTATGATTAAAACCCTGCTAAATATGTTAAACATTGCTATCACTATGAGATTATATGTGTTTACTTGGAAATAGGAATAACTTTTCGGTCATCAAAACAAAACTTTATTTTTCTCGGATTGGTGCGAATGTTACTTACGACATAATGAAAATTTGCTCTTGCAATGATATATTGCAATACATAAATCAACCAGGTAACATTTAAAGGTATGCAAAGTTTCTTCTAAAACAGCTGATGCGTATATTTTCGTCCCAATTTATTCAATTACGTTAATAAAATAACTGAAATCCTGAGTACAACATACCTGAAAGTTACGTTCAATCATCTATCAGAACGAGTGAAGGATTCTTCTTGCTGAAAAATTCAACGATGCATTTGGCCATATTTTATGGGTATGCAATAATTAGATACAAAGTGTGCAATACAGGACAATGCAGGATTTCAATGCAAATGGTGCGTGCAACAATTTGACTTTGAGACACATTCAAAAGATTTATTATAAGAAAAGTTTTAACGAATAAAAATTATAAATGAGCTTTGGAAATGTTACATGAATCGCAATCGAAGATCTCTTGACGAATTCCCTCGTCGAAAACGTTTTCAAACTCTTAATTTTGCTAAATAACAAAAAGCGCGTGCTTACCCTAGTAAACTAAAACCACAGACAAACAGACATAACACTCGCAAGTTGTTCATCGAACAAGCATTTAACGGACAATTTAAAAGTATCGTAGTTGGTAGTACCGCCACCTGTAGCGTGCATAGTCAATTCCCTTACGTTTGACGTTTACTCACTACCACCATCTGTTCAGCGTAGTGCCAACCACAGTGTACTCAACAGATGGCGGTAATGTTTTAGTGACGATGTTTTAAAGTGAGAAATATTCAATGTGTTATGTCTGTTTGTCTGTGCTAAAACCATATACGAACAATACCCCAAATAGTCGAACTTTTCCTCAAAAGGTTTAGATGATACCCCAAACACGTCGTTGTTTGGAAAATTACCCTACTGGTAATAATCTTGTAGAGCTGCCAAAGAAGATAAGGTAGAGCGCTACTTCATCTACTGCGCTAATTTCTATTGTATACAGTTTACATGTCCCTAACTTGGGTCTAATAATCATCCATAAATTGCGCTTTTAATCATATCGCAACAAATATAAGGTCTTTTCCTGTACTTGCTTTTCTGTGAGAATCTATACATCAAAAAGCAAAAGTATGCACTAAATTATTTTCTTAAAACAACTTACAACAAAAGCAAAAAAAGCAGAAAACAGACCTATTGACTTGCAGACGAAATTTCGTTGTCGACATATGTGCCGTAAATCGGGGGCAAATTGATCACCGAGTGAAATTTTTCGATCAAACTGCTGAAAATAAGCTCGTTTTTAAAGAGTCAATATTTGGAGCACCGTTAATTAGTTTTTATTATAGTAAGCAATTGAATTTTCATTTAACCCATCTTAAAATATATCGATTAATGCTAGTATTTTCCCTATAAAACTTCAAAATGCTCGAACCGTTGAGCTACACTCTGTGATTACTCCTAAGACACAGACAAACAGACATAATGCTTGCATTTTTTCATCGAACACGCCTTTAATGCTCATTTTTTTTATTAGTTGCTAGTGCCGCGCATAGTCAATAGAGATTGCTAAAATGTGATTGTGTCAGTGATTTGTTTTCATCAAGAAAATTTTCGGCTATGAAGTTTTTTTTTTCCTGATGAAAACATTTTGCGTATACGTATACGTGACGTAGTGTGCGTACGATAAACGTCAGCAATCTCTATTCCCTAGAGTTTGACGTTTACACACTAACGCCATCTGTTGAGCCCATGACAGTGTACTCCCCAAGTAACAATTTCCAGTTGAAGAAACGCTTTCGTTTTGATTTTGTTCAGCTGCATGTTGAATAATAATTGCACAATGTGTTCACCACAACTTTTATAAAACCCTTGTTTACACTGGTTTGGAGAACCTATACAACTGCAACACAAAGGTGTTGTCTAACGTATTCAGTAAAACGTTTATCCAAAATCAATTTCTTGTTGAAGAAACGCTTCCATTGTGATTTTATTCAACTGCATGCTGAATAATAACTGTACAATTTGTTTATTACAACTTCTGTAAAACTCTTGTTTACACTGGTTTGGAGAACCTGTTCAACTACAGCATTATATGTATACGCGGTATAGGAGTAGAAGCAACTTTTATATAACGTTTATAGATACATATTTAAACTCAAGCTTTATTATTTTGGTTAGTCGGAGGCGAACCAGCCTAAGGCTGAAAGCCTCCTAAATAAAGCTAAATTAATTAATTATTTTGGTGAAAGCTCTTATACAACGTTTGTAGACATTTCTTGACAGCTGCTTTGAAATTTAGTAGATAGTAAACCTGAGAGGCGTTTGTTGCACTCTTTTATGACTCCTAAATAATCATTGTACAGCAAGCGGTGAAAAGCGTTTATAGCACTTTTCAATGACTCCTTAACAACCGGATAGAAGCAACTTTTATACAACGTTTATAGATACATATTTAAGCTGTATTGTTTTGGTGAAAGCTCTTATACAACGTTTGTAGACACTTCCTGACAGCTACTTTGAAATTTAGTAGAGAGGAAACCTGAGAGGCGTTTGTTGCACTCTTTTATGACTCCTAAATAATCATTGTACAGCAAGCGGTGAAAAGCGTTTATAGCACTTTTTAATGACTCCTTAATAACCGTTGTGTAAGTACTTACAATATTCACAGATTAAAATTAGTTTAACAATTGTCGTGGTGCGCCAAAATAATTGCTTGTACAGTTTTTATTAATTTAATGTATTTGTGCACATTGAAAAAATATGTAATTATGCCATAATTCACATTCTGTGATCATGGAGGAAGTAGTAACAAGCATCTGTTTAATCTTTGATTGATATGCTTTCAATTAATCTCTCTAATCATTAATTGAGAGAATTTATCTAGAAATGTTATCGTTGATTATATGATATATGTCTTAAATTAATGTTTGCATTTATTAATAACACCTATATATAATTTACCTCTACTCCACCAAAGGTTTCTCGAAGCAAGATTCGAACTCATGATCCCGGATTGCCAGCCGCTTCTGTTTCCATCTGCTCTATTCTTGAATACATATTTTGATCATATGAGAGAAGTATATCAAGCTCATCTTGAGTGACTTCTCTTGCAGTCGAATAATCATTGCCTTATGGTTATATAAACATGCCTATCACTTGTGCTATTTTTAGCAACAAAATTGTGGTTGGTCGAACGTAAACAATCATTTAAGAGTGCTCCAAGCAGCTTTTGAAGCTTTTAACCAAATGGCAATTCTTGTACAACTCTGAAAGCTATTATTCAACGTTTGATCAACTCAGGTGTTGTATAAGAGCTCCCAATTGTTTGTTTTGATGCGTTTATTCCACGTTCTGTATAACTCTTGTGAATCAGTTTAACTAAGGTGCTATAAAAGTTATCGTAGGTCTTATAAAGCATTTAGTTAAACCGAACGTAAACAATCATTTAAGAGTGCTCCAAGCAGCTTTTGAAGCTTTTAACCAAAAATGCAATACAACTACATTCTTGTTCAACTCTGGAAGCTATTATTCAACGTTTGATCAACTCAGGTGTTGTAAAAGAGCTCCCAATTGTTTGTTTTGATGCGTTTAT